TGTTTGTAGCCTCAGAGTCTGTTAACCAAAACTGCAGAATGGGGGGCTGGGCATGGTGGCTCACACCTGTGATCCCAGCACTTTGGGAGGCTGAGGCGGGTGGATCACCTGAGGTCAGGAGTTTGAGACCAGCTTGGCCAACATGGTGAAACCCTGTCTTTGCTGAAGATAAAAAAATTAGCCGGTCATGGTGGCCACATGCCTGTATTCCCAAGCTACTGAGGAAGTTGAGGCAGGAGAATCACTTGAACCCAGGAGGTGGAGGTTGCAGTGAGCCAAGATCATGCTACTGTACTCCAGCCTTGGTGACAGAGTGAGAGTCTTGTCTCAAAAAAAAAAAAAAAAAAAAAAAATTTTTTTTGTAGAATGTGTCAAGAAAAAATACTTTTGTGGGTTTTTTTTTTTTTTTTTTTTTTTTTTTTTTTTTTTGAGACGGAGTTTCGCTCTTGTTACCCAGGCTGGAGTGCAATGGCGCGATCTCAGCTCACCGCAACCTCCGCCTCCCGGGTTCAGGCAATTCTCTTGCCTCAGCCTCCTGAGTAGCTGGGATTACAGGCACGCGCCACCATGCCCAGCTAATTTTTTGTATTTTTAGTAGAGACAGGGTTTCACCATGTTGACCAGGATGGTCTTGATTTCTTGACCTCGTGATCCACCCACCTCAGCCTCCCAAAGTGCTGGGATTACAGGCTTGAGCCACCACGCCCAGCATGAAAAAATACTTTCTTAATGGCATTTGTGTTTTATGAAAACTCAGTCACATAGTGTCCATTTTAAGAGTTGCAGGTTTACAGGTTGTCCCCAGTGGCCATACTTTGTGATTCTTATGGGTTTAAAGATGTGATTTTTAAAAAATCAGTGTTTTACCATGTAGTTACTTGATCATCTCCACTTTTTTTGTGTTGAACAAAAGTGTAAAACTGGAAGGCAAAGAAAAAACAGACTATTTTCAGTAAACATGTAGTTTTGTTTTATTAATAGAATGTAATGGGCCTTTAAGATCTTAGGTACTTAATGTTATCTTTGTTACTCAGATGCTGAACTTAAGCAGTGAGAAAATAGAAACTAAAGAAGTTATTAAGGGTTCCTTTAAAGTCAACATTTAGCTTATTCATTATACTGGTTTCTTGAAAATGACAGAATTTGTTTTCAGTGTAAGACAAATATCAAAGGTAATAGATCAACTGTAAAGTGTAAATCTACTGTACATATTATATTGATACCATCATTTTCAGTATCTACATAAGAAGATTGTGATAGATAATTTGGTAATCTCAGGCGTTTTTCTCCCATACCTGAAATTTAGACAATACTTGTTTCTCTTTTAGTTCATCAGTGTCTGTTAGCAAAATAGGTTGGGCATTTGACATTCTATTTACCATGACTTAGCTTTGTTTCCGTTTTACAGTCATTTCCAGTAAGACTATAAAAAGGGCAGAAAAGTACTGATATAGTCCTCATTACCTGCGAACAAGATTAACCAAAGGTTTATAAACAATTCCTTTAAATGTCACTTTCCTTTTTTTTTTTTTTTGACAGAGTTTCACTCTTGTTGCCCAGGCTGGAGTGCAATGGCATGATCCGATCTGGCTCACTGCAACCTTTGCCTCCCAGGTTCAAGCGATTCTCCTGCCTCCCCAGTAGCTGGGATTACAGGCATGCACCATCATGCCTGGCTAATTTTGTATTTTTAGAAGAGACAGGGTTTCTCCATTTTGGTCTGGCTGGTCTTGAACTCCTGACCTCAGGTGATCCACCTGCTTCAGCCTCCCTGAGTGCTGATATTACAAGCATGAGCCACTGTACCCGGCCTTAAATGTTACTTTCCTTTTAAAATAGTTCATTGTTCATGCATTTGATATTACAATTGATCCTGGCTAAAAGGCCAAGGAGTCGTGGTTCATGCATTTGAATATTAAAAGTACAATTTGACATTTAGCTAGCATAATGTGAATACTTCAGAAGTTCTTGAGCATTCTCACTCACCAGGTATGTAAACATGCTGTGGTAAATACTGCCGGGAAATGCAAAGGAATTTTAGAATTCAGAGCTGACATTCACTGATGAAGTCTTTTATGCCTTTTATATGTATTCATGTGCTTCTCATGAACCTGTCAGGTTGGTGTTATCCCTATATTACTCCTAAGGTAAGAAGCTTAGCCTGGTAAGATAACATGCCAAGATCACCCAGTGAATAGGCCATAAACTTTTTTATTTTGAAACGGAGTCTCACTCTGTCACCTAGGCTGGAGTACAGTGGCATGATCTCGGCTCACTGCAACCTCCATCTCCCGGGTTCAAGCGATGCTCCTGCCTCAGCCTCCTGAGTAGCTGGGACTACAGGTACGTGTCACCATGCCTGGCTAATTTTTTATATTTTGAGTAGAAATGGGGTTTTACCATCTTAGCCAGGATGGTCTCAATCTCAAACATTTATTCCTAGAACTCCTCTCCAATGTAAATGTGGCTGACTGCCAAGTGTCTTTTGTTGTTATCTTGTTATTTTGAAACTTCAGTTTCAGCGGGGCACAGTGGCTCATGCCTATAATCCCAGCACTTTGGGAGGCTGAGGTGGGTGGATCACCAGAGGTTAGGAGTGCAAGACCAGCCTGACCAATACGGTGAAACCCCGTCTGTACTAAAAATACAACAATTAGCCGTTTGGTGGCACACACCTGTAATCCTAGCTACTGGGGAGGCTGAGGCAGGAAAATCACTTGAACCCGGGAGGCAGAGGTTGCAGTGAGCCAAGATTGGGCCACTGCACTCCAGCTTGGGTGACAGAGACTGTCTCAAAAAAAAATTTACAAACAGAAACTTCATGTTTCCTCTTATAATTTATGATTCTTGAAGTAAAAACCAAGTAGCAGCTGCTCATGTTTATACTCTTGAGTATAATGAGTCCTGCCCATGTTTATACCCTTTTGGAGAGACAGTATAGCAGTTGAGAGCGTGGATTCTGAAGCCTGACTGCCTGTGTTTGAATTTTGCCTGTACCTCAGTTCTGTGAACTAACCTCTGTGCCTTCACCTCCTCATTTGGACATGGGGATTAGAAATGTATCTACCTCAAAGGGTGGTTGTGAAAATTAAAGGAGTTCATATATAGTATGTAAAAAAGAGCATGATCAGAGTAAGCACCAAATATAATTTCTGGTAATCACTATCAGTTTCTTGATCAAGTCTGTTAGTGTTTTAGCCCTGAAATTCATTTAGCCAGCATTTGTAATGGCCAGACTCACATATAAAACAGTAAACATGTAACAGTATGTAAGAATATGACTATAAAATACCAGGAATATATTCAGAGGAATGTTTACAGGCATTTTTTTGAACACTCACTTTGGATCATAAGGTATACTGGATCCAAAGTCTTAATTATCAGTGAATCTATACAAATGTGTCAGCTGTGTCTTAACTCTGAGTCTTAATTGTTACCCTACTTAGTCTGGTAGCCCCAATACTTCTTTTTGGTCTGATTACTGTGCAGCATCATGATAACACATTTCAAGTGTTAGTTTACGGATCTGCTGCTTTTGCATCCATAATCTGTGAAATGTCAGAATACCAGTGTTCATGAATATTTCTTAAAACTTGTTAATCTCCTCATATGTAACACAAAATTTGTTGTCCAGGCTGGGCACAATCAGCTCACTGCAGCTTCAAATTCCTGGACTCAACTGATCTTCCCACCTAAGCCTTCCAAATAGTGAGGACTGCAGGTGTACACCACCATGCCTGACTGACATTTTGTAGAAACAGGGTCTCCCTGTATTGCCCAGGCTGGACTCAAAACCCTGAGCTCAAACAAGCCTCCCAAAATACTGGGATTGCAGGCATGAGCTACTGTGCCTGGCCACCATTTCATTCTAGAGCATTTTCTTTTATATCGTAATTGTCCACTTTTAATTTTGCCACCATATTCACATCAAGGTTAAGTGATTTAACATCTTTGGGGATAAATAAGGTGCTGATTTGGTCTATAGTCATCAGTTTATCGTAATAGATCCAAGGTAAGGTAAATTCTGTCAAAGATATGGTCTGCCATGCTGAATATTCCATGTGTACTTCAGGAGATATATTCTGCTGTTTTGGGGTGAACTGTTCTATAAATGTCAATTTAATCCAGTCAGTTTATGGTGATGTTCAGTTCTGTTTTCTTACTGATGTACTGTATATATACTAGTTTGTTACTAAGGAGGGATATTAATCCCTAACTGTAATTGTACATTAGTTTCTCTTTTCATTTGTTTTAGCTTCATACATTTTTGGAGCTGCTGTTAGTTACATGTACATTTAGGATTATTTTGTCGTCTTGGTGAATTAGACCTTTTATAATTAGGAACTTGTCCGTTATACAGCCCCTCCATCTTTGTTTACATGGTCTTTTTTCCAACCTGTTAACCTGCCTATATCACTTGAATCGAGTTTCTTTATAGTTGGCAGATCATTGGGTTATGTTTTTTTCCCCGTGTCTCTCTTGTCATTGATGTGCTTAGACCATTTACATTTAATATAATAATCGATATGTATGGGTTTAGTTCTACCATCTTACTTTTTTTTTTTTTTGAGACAGAGTTTCGCTCTTGTTGCCCAGGCTGGAGTGCAATGGCACATTCTTGGCTCACTGCAACCTCCGGGATTCAAGTGATTCTCCTGCCTCAGCCTCCTGAGTAGCTGGGATTACAGGCACCATCACGCTGAGTTTTTATTTATTTTTTTTATTTTCAGTAGAAACAGGGTTTTACCCTATTGGCCAGGCTGCTTTTGAACTCTGACATCAGGTGAGCCACCCGCCTCATCCTCCCAAAGTGCTGGAATTAAAGGCATGAGCTACTATGCCTAGCCTTTTCCTTTCTTTTTTAAAACAGGATCATGCTCTGTCACCCACGCTGGAGTGCAGTGGCACAATCATGGCTCACTGCAGCCTCTATTTCTGGGGCTCAAGTGATCCTCCCACCTCAGCCTTCTGAGTAGCCCACCACACCTGGCTTTTTTAACTTTTTTGTAAGTAGAGACACATCTCACTGTGTTAGCAAGGCTGGTCTCGAACTCCTGAGCTCAAGTGATTGCCTACCTTAGCTTCCCAAAGTGCTGGGATTACAGGTATGAGCCAGCATACCCAGCCAGGTTACTTGAACATTTTTAAGTATTACATTTTCTCTACTGTAATATTGACCGTCATCTCTGTGCAGGTTTTTTAGTGGTTGCTCTAGGTTGAAGCACTTTGAATTATTAAATATCTAAGAGTGAGCATTTTCTTTTTTTGACTACTATATTCTCACCAGTTGCCAGCTTCTCATATAAATACTGTAAATGCTCTCGTTTAGGTAGCTCAGCTTCTGGAGTTGAGGGAACTTCAAAATCAGAAGAGCTCTGGGAATCTACATTTGTGCTAAGATTTAGCAAACTTTTTTCCTCAGGTATGTGTTTCTCCATGCTTATAGTAGTTAGTTCTCCAGGACCAGGAACTATTGTTACATCATCATCTCTGCTCTTCAAATCAGAACAAGTATCCTTTGGGCAAATTACATTTTGATCCATGAGAGAGGCAGGAATCTTCTCTTTGATTGTTGGTCTGTAGTCATCTTTGTCCAAGGAAGTAATAGCCCCACTGTTTCTCTCTTGGGAAGATAGCAAAACAGTATCAGATTGGCTGTCCCAGCCTTGACTTCCTTGTTCTGTTATGTGTGTTGACTGGGAAGAATTCTGGGAGGAGATGTGGGTTGATTCTCCATCAGAGTCACTGAAAAGCTTTGGTGACTGAGATCCCCCCGCCTCTGTGGAAGAAGGGAAGTTTTCCAAACTCTCATCTGTGATTTCATCAGTTCTTTTAAAGAATACTTCCCACTGGGGTACATCCCCATCAGCCTTTTGCTGGTGAAGTACAGAGCCCAGATCTCCTGGCAGTGAAGGTGGGATTTCTAATTCTTCTTCACTTTCACTGTTGGATTCTTCACAATCTACAAAGTTTGTGAAACGAGAGCTCTCCATGCTCTCTGCTCTGCAGCATCCTGGGCGTTGTCTCTGTTTTTCAGGCTGGTTTTCTGATGCTGCAGTCATTGAAAGTGCCTCAGGGTGACAAGTTTTCTGGTATGAAACCTTGTGCCTTAAAGGTATTGGCAGAGGATAATCAAAGAGATCATCATCTTCCTCCTCTGTGGGACAAACAAAACAGGTTTATAGGAAACAAAGCAAAGGGAACCAGTTTGCAGCATTTACCTACATTTTTAATTCTTGGAATTGCAAGGAATAGGGAGGCCAGTCTTCAAAGGGAAAATACCTTCTTGGGAGATGCTTAACAATTTCACTACCATCCTTCAACTTTTTATAATGCCAGACTATTAGTGGAGAATATAGAGTACTCACTTTGCTCTATATATAAGCCTGGCTGATCATTACAATCATATGCAAAATTTGGGACCGGAAGTGTTTTAGATTTTGGACTTTTTTGAATTTTGGAACATTTGCATTTATATTTAATGATTGAACCTCTTTAATTAGAAAATCTAAACTGCTTCAATAAGGATTTCCTTTGAATGTCATACTGACACTCAAAACAGTTTTGGATTTTGGAGCAGTCCAGATTTCAGACTTCTGTTATCTCCAGATAACAGCCACACTGGATTTAGGGCTTCCACATATGAATTTTGACAGGAAGCATTCAGTTCATAACATACGATCAAACTGCTTTAACACTTCAAGGAACTGCCAAACATTTCCAAACTGAATACATTTTACATTCTGTCCAGCAATATATAAAGATTCCAATTCCTTCACATACTAACTTTTTTCTGTCGTTTTGAATATAGCCATCCTAGGTGTGTACGGTGGTAGCTTACAGTGTTGATTTGCATTTCTCTAATGGCTAATGTTGTTGAGCTTTTGTTCATGCACTTATTGGCCATTTATATAACTTCTCTGGTGGAATGTCTATTCAGATATCTTGCCCCTATTTTAACTGTTACTGACCTTCTTACTGAGTTGTAAGTTATTTAAATAGTCTGGTATCTGTCCTTTATCTGATATGATCAGGAAATATTTTCTCCAGACTTGTCTTTTCACTCTGATGGTATCTTTAAGTGTAAAGGTTTTAAGTCCATTGTGTCTATTTTTTTCTTTTATTCCCTATGCTTTGGTGTCACATCTAAGAAACTATTGTTTGAGCCAAGATAATGAAAATTGACTCCCATGTTACATAATTTCTGGGTCAGTTTTGATTGTATTTTCCTGCTGCTTGCATTTCTTATGACTTATTTTAAATGCCATACTTTCTGAATTTTGCCTTTTAAGGACCTGTATAATTTTAGGTTTCTAGAAACATTCTCGAGGTTTGCTTGGTCCTCTACATTAGAATCCCAGCCCCATCACTTACTTCCTGCTAGTCCTTAAGGACTTAAGTCTCTAAACTTCAGTTTCCTCATTGTTAGAATTGGGATGGTACCCCTGGTAAGTTTGTTTAGAGGTTTAGCTATAACATACGTAAAGGACCTAGTGCAATACCTGCCATTAGTAGGTGTTCAAAATATAGTATCATTATCTTGTGTGTTTTTGTCGAGTATTCACTGTATGGCAGAGTAACTGACTTTGCACCAAAGGAATGAAAATCAAGAATCCTAACCACGAAATATGGCTGCTGGAAAGCAACAGAGCTTTGCTCTGAATCTAACATTCTGATTTCTACTGCAGAGTTTACCTGTCCTTCACTAGAAAAATGAAAATAACCATGAAAAAAGGTACAAAGTATAGCAAAAACTCCATCTGTATAAACACTACTGATGAACTTGATAAAAAATGATAAGTTTCCAGTCAGCGTTTACGAGTATCTTAGAAGATGTTCTAAGATAACAAACCAGCCACTCTGTGGCCTCTACTAGTCTTAGGGCGTATTGCTAGAAAGCTAAGAACACCACACATGACGGCACAGTCTCCACCACTTGTTTTAACCCAGGGAGGGAGAGCAGACTCTTGATTTTACAGGCTGAAGACAGGAAGGCAAACTACTTCCTGAGACTGTGTACAAGTCTGGCTTGTGGTGAGTCCCAGGTCCACTGTGTCCAAGGCCCGAGCTCTCTGCAAAGCAGTGTTTGCCGGAAGCCCACCCCTGTGAACCCAGGACCATTTTTTCTTACCTGAGTCTTGGTGGACTATTCTGGCTCTCTTCAGTTTTCCCAGTGGTTTATACTGTGGCTCCATACTTTGGGAAGACCGGCATAAAGGCTTTAAGCTGAAATGAATCAGAATATTTGATTTTTCCTTTTGGGGAAGCTGTTAGAAGTTAAGCATCATTGATAGTACAACATTTTTTTTATTTTTGTTTTTTAATTTCTTGGATCCCTGTGTTTTTAACAAAATCTCGACTATAAGGGAAATCACACAACCATTTTGGAGGATTGAAAACCAGTTCTAAACTGATTTCATAGTAAAAAATCACTTCGACTTAATAAAGTGATAAATATAAGCACTTAAATGCAACCTGGTAGATGCTTATCTTTAGTAGACTAAAGCAAAACTTAGATCTTTGCTCCTGCATTGCAAAAAAGCAGGTCTCTATCCTGAAAACCTGTTAATACAGTGACATCCTTTGGCATTTGGGATACAGTATAACTACCTGCTCCTCTTCCCTGTTTCAGTAGGGCTTACTCATATTTCACAGAAATGTCCACAGATTCATCTCATCACTCCAGGTCCTTAGGCTGAAAACTAAGACACAGTAGAGGTAAAATACAAAAAGGCAGAGAAATAAGATTGGAAGGTGTCCTACCCCTTTCGAAGACCTCACTGCCAACTGCCTCCTCCTGGCAGATTCCTGGAAGCCTTTAGGATGATCTACAACATACCATATGAACAGGGCCATGAAGTGCCCAACCTGAAACTTGTATTTACAGCCACCCTCATTTTATATCCTCACCCCTGTTCCCACAGGTGTTCTTTGGATCCAACCCTTCCAGGAGTTCTGATCCATTACTGTGTCTCTTTACAGTCGTTTCAGCTATTCTCCTGGGATAACTTTTCAAAGTAAGGTCATCTTCCCCCACCTACCTAGAACAGAATTGCCTGCTAGAAATGCAGGATGGGGGCAGGGCGCAGTGGCTCACATCTGTAATCCCAGCACTTTGGAAGGCTGAGACTGGTGGATCATTTGAGGTTAGGAGTTCAAGACCAGCCTGGCCAACATGGTGAGACCCCCATCTCTACTAAAAATACAAAATTTAGCCAGATGTGGTGGTGGGTGCCAGTAATCCTGGCTACTCAAGGCTGAGGCAGGAGAATCACTGGAACCACGGAGGTGGAGGTTGCAGTGACCTGAGGTTGCACCACTGCACTCCAGTCTGAGTGACAGAGCCAGACTCTCTCAAAAAAAAAAAAAAAAAAAACAAAAAAACAAAAAACAGCAGGACGGGGGAATATGCATTTTAACAAGCACCTCAAGTGACTGCTAAGCACATCCAAGTTCATTCAAGTTTAGTTCCATAGGCCTATTTAAGTCCCAGCCATTTTAAGATCAAGCCTCCCATTTCTGTTACCATCTTGTCTCTAACTTTCCCTTCACTGTCCAACTTTTTCTATAGCCTGTCCTCAGTATTTTCCATTTCCTCACTTTTTACCCGTTTCTCAACTGAAATCTGGCTTGTAACTCACAAATTTACTAAAATTGCTCTCACTGAGCACACACAAATGACCTAATGACCAAGGTAACAGGATAACTGGTAGTCCCCGTATTATGTGACTTCTCAAGACACTGCCATGGGCACCTTCTGCTTACCCTTTCCTTTGCTCTCATCCTGCTGTCTGGGCCACTCTCTCCATCTTGGCCCAGCTCCTCCTCCTCCGCTCTTCCCTTAAATGTGCTGCCCAGGGTGTTGGCCTCAGCTGTGTGATCCCTCCTTTCGCTCCTGGTGACTTCCTCTGTCCTCATGGTTTCAGTTTTCACCTGCACTGCCAACTCCAAATCTGTGTTTCTAACCCAGAACTCTCTCCAGAGTTCCTCCATCCTCCTTTCCATCAACATCTGCAAGCCTGGTCCTGTGTGTCCCCATCGGGATCTGTAAGGCAGACTCCCTGACATGGGGCCTCATTCCTTCCTGCATCCATTGCAGGTTGTGTGCAGCAGGCCTGCCTTTGCACTCCACCTCTCGGCAAGACCAGAGCTGTGCTAGGACAGGGTATGTCTTAGGCAACTTGGATCCCAAGCTCCATGCCCACCATATGGCTGGCACTAAAGAAATTATTGATGGGCCAGGCGCAGTGGCTCATGCCTGTAATCCCAACACTTTGGGAGTGTTGATCACTTAAGTTCGGGAGTTTGAGACCAGCCTGGCCAACATGGTAAAACCCCATCTCGCCTAAAAATACAAAAATTAGCCAAGTGTGGTGGCACACACCTGTAGGCCCAGCTACTTGGGAGAATGAGGCAGGAGAATTGCTTGAACCTGGGAGGTGGAGGTTACAGTGAGCAGAGATCACTCCAGTGTACTCCATCCTGGGTGAGAGAGTGAGACCCTGTCTCAAAAACAAAAACAAAACCATTCATGAATGAATAAATGAAACCCAAGGAAGAGGTGAGAAAGTGGTAACCTCTGTAATAAAAGATACCCATAATGCCATTGCACCTCTCTTGGCTTTCAGTTATCCATTCAGTAGACACCTGAAGACCTAACTTGGCATGCTGCTAGGTGCTTTTCTTATTTCCCTATATTATCTCTCATTTTTGAGAAGCCCAACAAGTAGGCACCGATATTCCTATTTTGCTGATTCAAAAGGACTAGCTCAGAGAAGTGATCTGGCCACGTTCCTGTGGCACTGTTAGTAAATGGCAGAGCAGGGTTGCAACCCAGGAGAAGCTGGTGACACTACCTATACCTTCTGCCACAATGTGAACTAAAGGAAACACTACAGGAAGAAATGGAAATAAGTATCAGTTCAGAAATGTCCCAACAAACAGATTCTAGATTTGTAAACATTCAGGCAAACTCTCCTTTGTATCCTAGCCAAGAGCCACAAGGGGGGACACACAAGTCCCACGAGCAGTGAATACTCACATTTCTACAACTTTATCCATAGTTGTGCCAATTGGAATGACATTTGGATAAGCATTCACAGGGCAGATGTAGCTCAAGAAATCTTTAATCTAGAAAAAGGAAAATCCCATGGATCAACAATCTCTACAATGAAAAGGTGAGTTGTTAGGGGAGATAACGGGAGGCTGGGGAAAGAGAAGCAGAACCTACGGCTGTGGTTCTCAACGCTGGCTGCATGTGGGGTCACCAGGGACCTCTTGGGGGAAAAAACACCCAATTCCCAGGCCTTACTTCCAAAGATCTCTTGAACACTGAATGCTAGTGGCCTTAGAAATCAGTAAATTTGAATGTTCCCCAGGTGATTTTGATCCAGAGTAAGAGCTGAGAATCACTAATGGGACACAAGGATTCTGTATTTTTTTTCAGTATCTTGCTTTCCTTTCCAAGAAGGTCAGCTGCTATGTTTAACAAATCCCCTTTCAAATGAGTTAGAATGTAGCTGGGCATTAACCATAATATAAACAAAAAACAAGGTCTTAGAACTGCGTTTGTTAGCTGGGCACAATGGTATGTGTCTATAGTTCCAGCTTCTCAAGGCTGAGGCAGGAGGATTGCTTAAGCCCAGGGATTTTAGGCCAGCCTGGGCAACACAGACCACATCTCTAAAAAAGAACAACAAAAGAACTGCACTTACTTCCTCCTACAAATAATCATTAACGATGCCAAGAGAATTACACCTTTGAGGTTACCTGATTCGTTCAAATGGTTCATTCTTATTGGGCACAACACCAGGCGTTGGTCACCAACCCCAGTCAAGGATCCAAACACTGCTCACTGTTATCTTAGTATCAGAGTCACCAAGGAAAACACAGTGCAGACAAGCACTGAATGGAACAATGCTTCACTTTACTGAGAACAGACCAAACAAGATCAAGTCCAACAGTGTGCACTGGTCCCCAGTGACCAGCACGTCCCTCCCTGCAACCAACATAGGGCACCCTACTTACATTCACCCTTCTCCTGTCACACAGGAAGGAACCCCACCATGCTGTCTGAAATACAGACAGCTGAGGTGTGCCTGAGGGCCACTGACACACAGGCTTAAGCAGAACAAAGGAACACACATCAAGGATGAAGCAGAGAAAGGTGTTTCCACATAAGGCACTGAGCTGCCGCAGGCTGTGTGCTTGCCCACTTCTCTTGCTCTCTCAAGGAACTGTTCCATTCTTATGTGGCCAGTGGGGGTTGAAAGACTACACATAGACTACCTCTCCCAATGATTAATTCTAAACAATTACATGCAAAAGCTTCATGAATACCTTGATTTTCTGCGAAGTTCAGAATGCTAAACAGAGGAACTCTCACTATTTATTCCTCAACATGTCTCTAAAACCTAGAGGAACTTCAGCTTTGTCTCTTACTAGACCTTGGTGAGCTTGTGATCTCAGTCAAGTTACCCGATGTCTCTAATCTTAGATTCTTCATTTAAAAGTATAAATGAGATTACACATGTAAAGTGCTTAGCTTGGTACCTGCTGAAACAGTCAATAAAATCATACATTACTAGGTTGATAATAAGAACACAAAGACTTTTATCCCCTTCAGCAAATGGAAAGGCAAACTAGGACCCATAGGACCCAATGTAATTATTAGTATCCCACCAAATTGAAAGAGGCTGGAACTGAAGAACTGCCAATAACTCTGCATAAAAATAAAAGGGCTAATTTAAGACAGGGGAAAAGCAGGAAGATCCACTCTTTAGGTATTTCTCATATCTTTTGTACCTTCAGAGCAGGCATGCAAATAAAAGCCATTATCTGCCTGCCCAAAACCTCTTTGATTTGCACAAAGTTGAGGCTAGTAGAAATCTGAGACTTCTGAAGAGAATAAAGGATAAAAAACGTAAAGTCAAGCCTATACCAGAAATGGTTCACTACTACTTTTCAGAGATGAAGTGGCCCCAAGGAGATAAGAGACACATTAAAGGATCACCCCTCTCACTTACACAAGCTGACTCCTTTATCAAATGCCTGCCTTAAAATGAGGTATCAATACAGCCAATTCTCTTTATTCACAGTAGTTATACCCTATAAAGTCACCATAAATAGTGAATTAGCAAATACTGAACCATTGCTGATGGGGAAAATACAGGATGGTTCCTGCCAGCTTTTGTTCACATCGTTTTTATCAGCCAATTAATATATAACCATGTTTTATGTGTGTTTCTGTTGAAAGATACCTCATTTAACATACACTTTTGTTCATTAACTTTGAACTCATGGCCAGTAGCCCTGTAACTCATGCCTATCTAACATACATATTTCCTCTAGAAGTCACGTGACAGTCTTTCCACATTTAGGAACACTGGATAGAACTGCAGTATAATGCTTAGTCACCATTTTAAATAACAAGATCACCAACAAAAAGCACAAAAATATGAAAAACATAGCACTTAATAGATGACAAAAAGGACACTTTTTTTTTTTTGAGATGGAATTTCACTCTTGTCGCCCAGGCTGGAGTGCAATGGCACAATCTCAGCTCACCACAACCTCTGCCTCCTGGGTTCAAGCGATTCTCCTGCCTCGGCCTCCCAAGTAGCTGGGATTATAGGCATGCACCACCACACTCAGCTAATTTTTTATTTTTAGTAGAGATGGGGTTTCTCCACGTTGGTCAGGCTGGTCTCGAACTCCTGACCTCAGGTGATCCACCCACCTCAGCCTCTCAAAGTGCTGGGATTACAGGCATGAGCCACCACACCCAGCCAAAAAGGATACTTTCGATACGGTATGGCTGTGTCCCCACCCAAATCTCATCTTGAACTGTAGTTTTCATCATCCTCGTGTCATAGGAGGGACCTGTTGGGAGGTAACTGAATCATAGGGGCTGCTACATCCATAAAGTTCTAATGGTAGGGAGATCTCATGTTTTTTAAGGGGCTTTCCCCAACCTTTGCTCTGCACTTCTTGCTTCCAGCATGTGAAGAAGGATGTGTTTGCTATTATTGTAAATTTCCTGAGGCTTCCACAGCCCTGCGGAACTGTGAATCAATTAAACCTCTTTTCTTTATCAATTACCCAGTCTCAGGTATGTCTTTAGTGCAGCAGAACAGACTAATACACTTGTTGACAGAATGAGAGCTCAAAGAAAAAGGCAGAGAGTTGCCTTGTTCGACCTGAACTGGAAATGTGTGCATCAGGTGACTCAAATTTTTTTACCACTCTCCATGTGTCCACAAATGATCACAAAAGCACTACAAATATTGATACTGGGGTTACAGGTCAGTTTCAGTGAGTAGGCCAACACATAAAAATAGAATCCATGAAGCCAGGCGCAGTGGCTTATGCCTGTAATCCCAGCACTTCGGGAGGCCCACACCGGCAGATTACCTGACGTTAGGAATTCGAAACCAGCCTGGCCAACATAGTGAAACCCTATCTCTGCTAAAACTATGAAACTTTTAGCTGGGCATGGTGGTGGGTGCCTGTAGTCCCAGCTACTTGGGAGGCTGAGGCAGGAGAATCACTTGAACCTAGGAGGCAGAGGTTGCAGTGAGCAGAGATCATGCCACTGCACTCCAGCCTGGGTGACAGACTGAAACATCGTCTCGGAAAAAAAAAGAAAAAACAGACTCCATGAATAAGGAGGATCAACTACATTTAGGGAAAAAAACTAAAAGGAAATGAAACTTACATAGAAACAGATGCTTCTGAGGGTCAGGGGACTACTGTCAACCACCAAGGCTGCAGAACACTGAACAGTAAGGGTTATGAGTACATGCGATCCTCTTACCTCACTGTAGGAGGAGTGAAAAGAAAAACAAGCTCTGTAGGAACTCTCTCCAGTCCTAAAGGGAAATGAAAACAAAGTAAAAAGGTCACTGCACAAAACTAAACCAAGTTCTAAACTTTCGCCCTTCTCATTTAGACTATTGTAGCATGAAACCACCCTAATGGGCTCGCTTCGGGAGCACATGTCCTGAAATCTCCCTAAATCAGGAATTTCTTCTTGGGATAGCAGGGGACTTTTTCCAGACGTGGAAACCTGTTGTAGACCGGGCGCAGTGGCTCACGCCCGTAATCCCAGCACTTTGGGAGGCCAAGGTGGGCTGATTGCCTGAGCTCAGGAGTTCGAGACCAGCCTGGCCAACATGGTGAAACCCTGTCTCTACTGAAACTATAAAAAGTTAGCCAGGCATGGTGGTAGCACACACCTGTAGTCCCAGCTATTAGGGAGGCTGAGGCAGGAGAATCGCTTGAACCGGGAGGTGGAGGTTCTAGTGAACTGAGATTGTGCCACTTCACTCCAGCCTGGGCAACAGAGTGAGACTGTCTCCGAAAAGAAAACAACAACAGAAGAAAGAAAGAAGAGGGAGAGAGAGAAAGGGAGGAAGGGACGGAGGAATCTGCTGCCAACATTCTGAACGGCCACAGTTAAGGAAATGTTGCTAAAATATTGTGATCGTTATAGCCACTCCTCTACTTCACCAAGGGTTCTTTTCTCTACGCCGTCAGTTTCTTACTCTTAGCCAGGAACTCGGATGCCCTCAGTCTCCAACCATCTCATCAGCCTACCTAGAGGGAACCTCAGGATATACCAGCTGATGGGAATGCAACTGGTTTAGAAGTCGCATCCCCTCAGTTTAAAAGTTTTAATTTAAGAAATTAATTATAATAATTATATTCTTGGGCTTAGGCTAGACTGTGCCTAAATCAAATAAAATCAGACCATTTACTCAAAGTTTATCTCAGAAAACCTATGACATTGGTTTCTTACCTCACAATTACATTTGTTTTTCTGGTTCTTTCTCCAAACCACATGGTAGACGGCTTAATGCTAATTGTGTGGAGCGGAATTCTATTTTTGGAAGTAATTCCACAGGGTAATTTGTTCCACTGAAAATATTCCTCTGCCTAAAAAAGATTTTAAAAACAGAAAAACAGTTCTACATTTTCTACAAATCTGTTGTAGGTGGAGTCTCAAAAGTCTAAAAGTTTCCAGACATGAAAAAAAATAACACAGACATGAAGAAACAATGAGATAATTCCAAATTGGGGAATATTCTGTAAAACAAATGAGTCCAGTGACTCATCAAAACCATCAGTGTGAGGACAAAGAAGCAGAAGGTTCTACCCTTCAGGTCTGACTGAATGCAATGCGTGACCCTCAAATAAATCCTGGAGGCCCCTGTTCCCCTATTTCCACAGGCTACAGAGGGCACCATGGGAAGAACTGGAGACTGTGAGCATGGCCTGCGTGCCAGCTACCAGTACTGTATCGACACTGACTTTCCTGAGTAAGGGAACTGCATTACGGTCTTACAGGAGAACGTTCTTATTCTCAAGAGACACAGACTGAAGGATTTGGCACGAAGTACCATGGAGTCTATAACTTTACTCTCAAATGCTCTGGAGACGGTTCTACAAACAGAGAAAGAGGAAGAGAGGTGCAAAGTGTTAACCTAGTAAATCCAAATGAAGGGTATATATGGTGTTTCTTATATCAGTCTGTCTTTTTTTTTTTTTTTTTTTTTGAGACAGAGTCTTGTTCTGTGGCTCAAGCTGGAGTGTAGTGGTGCCGTCTCAGCTCACTGCAACCTCTGCCTCCTGGGTTCAAGAAACTCTCACGTCTCACCCTCTCAAGTAGCTAAAATTATAGGTGCACACCACAACGCCCAACTCAATTCTGTGTTTTTAGTAGAGACAGGGTTTCCACCAAGTTGGCCAGGCTGCTCTCGAACTCCTGACCTCAAGAGATTTGCCCGTGTCTGCTTCCTTAAACTGCTGGGATTACAGATGTAAGCCACTGCACATAGTCCCTCCTAACAGTCTTACAACTTTACTGTTTAAAGAGTTTTCAGGGCTGGGCACGGTGGCTCATGCCTATAATTCCAGCACTTTAGGAGGCTGAGGCAGGTGGATTACTTGACATCAGGATTTGAGGCCAGTATGACCAACAGGGTGAAACCCCATCTCTACTAAATATACAAAATTAGCCATCCATGGTGGCACATGCCTGTAATCCCAGCTACTTGGGAGCGTGAGACAAAAGAATCGCTTGAACCCGGGAGGCTGAGGTTACAGTGAGCCCACATCATGCCATTGCACTCTAGCCTGGGCAACAAGAGCGAAACTCCATCTCAAAAACAAAATTTAAAATTAAAAAAAAAAAAAAGTTTTCATCCTCAGCAATATAGTAGGATCCTGTCTCTACAAAAAAACTTAAAAATTACCTAGGCAAGTGGTGTATACCTGTAGTCCCAGTTATTCAGGAGGCTGAGTCAGGAAGATCGCTTGAGCCCAGGGGGTCAAAGCTACAGTAAGCCATGATTGCACAACTGCACTTCAGCCGGAATAACAGAGCAAGACTCTGTCGAAATTGATTAATTCAAATTACAAAGTCTTCAAAATACATTAGGAGGAAAAAAACTAACAAATGTTTTTAAAAGGCTGAAAAATAATGGCACAACTTTTCCAAAGGCATTATTTTTATATCCAGAACCTTCCAAACCATTACCATTCTATCCCACTAAGATTTCTTTGGGGTGTCTTTGGTGCTGGTTCTCAGGAAGCCAGAGATGAGTTAAGACTGGACTCTGTATGCTCTGACCTACCAGTTAGTATTATTATTATTTTTTTTGAGACGGAGTTTCCCTCTTGTTACCCAGGCTGGAGTGCAATGGCGCGATCTCGGCTCACCGCAACCTCCGCCTCCTGGGTTCAGGCAATTCTCCTGCCTCAGCCTCCTGAGTAGCTGGGATTACAGGCATGCGCCACGATGCCCAGCTAATTTTTTGTATTTTTAGTAGAGACGGGGTTTCACCATGTTGACTGGGATGGTCTCGATCTCTTGACCTCGTGATCCACCCGCCTCAGCCTCCCAAAGTGCTGGGATTACAGGCTTGAGCCACTGTGCTCGGCCTAGTATTCTTAAAGTCTACTTGACCTAAAAAAAATCTCTTAAGCCGCAAGAAATAGCATCTCAAGGAAAGTAGCAATGACAGCAAAGGATTACTAATTAAGCTACTTTGTGAGATGTGACAAAATTCACAGCAAAAAGACACTTGCCAGTTACAAGATTTATGGGGCAAGGGGCCCAATACTATGAGTCCAGTGGAAAAAAGAACAAAAAGGTTTACATTTTATTTATTTACTTGAGACAGGCTTTCACTCTGTCACCCAGGCTGGAGTGCAAAGGCACTATCTTGGCTCGCTGCAACCTCCACCTCCCAAACTCAAGCAATTCTCCCACGTCAGCCTCCCAAGTATCTGGGACTACAGGCATGCACCACCACGACCAGCTAAATTTTTTTGTATTTTTTGTAGACAGGGGTTTCAACATGTTGCTCAGGCTAGTCTTGAACTAGACTCAAGGATCCGCCTGCCTTGGCCTCCCAAAGTGCTGGGATTACAGGTGTGAGCCACCACGCCCAGCCTAGCCTTAATAATTTGAATTTTAAAAGATTTTTTTTAAAGCAAATTCAAAGTGAAAGTCTTGTACTCGGTGTTTGACAATAGAAGGACGTTCTGTGTTGGCATTAGAAAACAAAAGACACGAGTTGCAAAGAAACTGGAAACATCCATTTCAAATAGAACCTTCAGTACATGAAACTATTTTAAAGTGTAAAAAAATGTTCTGTGTATATATTTATCTCAAATAAACAGAAGAAAAGTAAAGCTTATAAACATGCTCATGTCACGAGTCTCAAAACTAAATAACACAGGATGGGTGCAGTGGCTCACACCTGTAATCCCAACACTACGGGAGGCAGAGGAGGGCAGATCACTTAAGGTCAAGAGGTCAAGACCAACCTGGCAAGCATGGTGAAGCTGTGTCTCAACTAAAATTACAAAAATCAGGCCAGGTGCAGTGGCTCACACCCGTAATCCCACAACTTTGGGAGGCTGAGATGGGCAGATCACCTGAGGTCATGAGTTCAAGACCAGCCTGGCCAACATCGCAAAACCCCATCTCTACTAAACACATAAAAATTAGCCAGGTGTGGTGGTGCATGCCTGTAATCCCAGCTACTTGGGAGGCTGAGGCAGGAGAATTGCTTGAACCCAAGAGGCAGAGGTTGCAGTGAGCCAAGATGGCGCTCAGCCAGCCTAGACAATAACACAAGACTCCATCTCAAAAATAAATAAATAAATAATAGATACATAAATAATATTACAAAAATTAGCCAGTAGTGGTGGTACATGCCTGTAGTCCCAGCTACTCAAGAGGCTGAAGCAGGAGACTCACTTGAACCTAGGAGATAGAGGCTGCAGTCAGCCAGGATTAGGCCACTGCACTCCAGCCTGGACAACAGAGCAAGAATGTCTCAAAATAAATAAATACGCACATACATAAATAACGCAAATGTTTCTTTAAGTTATAAGCTATAACCTATGATGGATTTCATTACAAATAAATTTGAATTATCAAACGTGTACGAATAGATTTCATTGCAAGACTATAAGGATCTGTGTCTATTTACTAGTTATGAGAAGTTCGGTAACGGAATACGGTAATACAGTTACATGGCCTTCAGCTAATCACTTAGGATTGTAGCCTCCAGTTTTACATTTGTAACGTCAGAAGCCTATAAATGGAACTCTTGCCCCTCTTCGTTTTCACAGATTACACAAACAATACGAGAGGAATCATTTACACACATACGTTGGGATGGCGGCATGCGTGGATCTGAGTGCTGCGGTCCGTTGTGAGATGATGAAGGATGTCAGGCATGTTCCTAAACATGTCTAGCTTATCCACATGAACCTAAGGAAAATAATATGTATATGCAAATTATTTGCAATGTATTTCCTATCAACTGTTCTAGGTTAATTATTCTGGGCAAAACAGTTAGTGAACTAGCTCTCTCTTCATTCTCGAAAAGCAGTTTTTCGCTATTTCATTGCATACTGGTATTCTGCCAGGACGTTAAACAGGCACAAGGCCAGCTGGCCAGGGTCACTGCCATCACTGATGGCAATAAAAAATTACGGAGACTCGGCTCCTGGATGTCATTTAATGATGCTAATATTGTCCTGCAGTCCTTCAAGAGAAATTCAATATTCCTTGTACACCTGTGTGTCAAGCTTTATTCTAAATGCTAGGAATATAGCATTAATCCACGCAGACAAAAACAATCAAGAATCATCTACCCTTGGCCAGGCACGGTGGCTCACGTCTGTAATACCAGCACTTTGGGAGGCTGAGGTGGGCAGATCACTTGAGGTCAGGAGTTCAAGACCAGCCTAGCCAACATGGTGAAACCCCATCTCTACTAAAAATACAAAAATTAGCTGGCCATGATGCACATGCCTGTAATCACACCTACTTGGGAGGCTGAGGCAAGAAAATCGCTTGCACCCAGGGGGCAGAGATTGCAGTGAGCCAAGATTGCACCACTGCACTGCAGCCTGGGTGAAAGAGCAGGACAGCCTAAAAAAAAAATCATCTACCCTTAAAGGCATACACATGACATGCAACAGAGGAGCATGTACTGTAAACAATACTCTCCCATATCTCCTTGTTCAAATTTGTTTTCAATGCTGGTCACAATTGCCAAGTTTATTTCATGACCCAAAGTTTGGGAGAAATACTTTGTCTATGGGGCATTTCACGAAAGGCCCTTGTAAGCCATTTGGGTTTCTGTCAATTTTCTCCCACGAGGACACGAGTAAACTGAGATGATCTACCACTTCGGAGGAGCCGCCAACCTCTGTTGCAGACACATCTTGATAGGGTGCTTGATAGAGCCACACATAGCCTTTTCCTTCCCAACGTTCACAGGTACTCACACCAATGGGGACAATTAGGATCTGACCTGTCTGTCACTGTTTGCAGTTATTTGGGGGACAACGAGGGAGAGGAAAGGTGAAGCTGGGAAGATGGAAGGGAGCAAGAGAAAAGAATGAACAGGCTGGGAGTAGTGGCTCAGGCCTACAATCCCAGCACTTAGGGAAGCCGAGGCAGGCAGATCACTTGAGGTCAGAAGTTCAAGACCACCCTGGCCAACATGGCAAAACGCCATCTCTACTAAAAATACAAAAATTAACCAGGTGTGGTGGCGCACACCTATAATCTCAGCTACTCCGGAGGCCGAGGCAGGAGAATCGCTTGAAACTGGGAGGTGGAGGTTGCAGTAAGCCAAGATTGTGCCATTACACTACAGCCTAGGTGAAAGAACAAGACTCCATCTCAAAAAAAATGAATGACTAGTCCAACAGTCACCATACCTGGACTCCAAATTCTTCACTAAGGTTGGTGAATAAATATTCATAGCCATAAGCTGCCTTGCAGTTCAGCCACACAACATGGTACGGGCTCCGAGTGATCCAGCTTCCAACCAGCTCCAAGATTCCACTTAAACACTCCTCCTAGACAGCATTTTAAAGAGACATTTAACAGGTGGAGAGCCACACATAGCCTTTTCCTTCCCAACATTCACAGGTACTCACACCAATGGAGACAATTAGGACCTGACCTGTCACCCTACAAACTTCCTACTAAAAATATTGCCATGCCCAGATTATCACCCTCTTTCTCCAAGCAGACTTACCCGACTTGGAATTTGGAAAAATCTTGGATCAAAGAAAGTAGTATCTAAATAAACACTGTGGATGTCTTTGACTCTGAAAAGAAAAAAGTAATTGATGTTAGCCATCCAATGTGACATAAATTATGTATAACTTTTTTTGGGGGGGTGGCGGGAGATGGAGTCTCCCTCTGTTGCTCAGGCTGAAGTTCAGTGGCACCATCTCAGCCTTCTGCAACCTCTGCCTCCTCGGTTCAAGCGATTCTCCTACCTCAACCTCCCAAGTAGCTGGGATCACAGGTGTATGCCACCACTCCTGGCTAATTTTTCTAATTTTTAGTAGAGACAGGCATTCAATGTGTTGACCATGCTGGTCTCAAACTCCTGACTTCAAGTGATCCATCCACCTCGGCTTCCCAAAGTGCAGGGATTAAAGGGGTTGGCTACCACGCTTTGCCAATTATGTGTAACATTTAAGCTCTCAGCTATTTTACAGGGTGTTACATTCCTTTTGGAATTTTTTTGTTAATATTGTTGGGAAGTGATTTCCACACAAAAAAAATTTAAAAAATATTGAATAAATGATCTACTGAATTTTGACAAACTCATTGTAACTACTACCCTAATCAAAACAGAGAACATCCCATTACCCCACTTCAAGGAGAAAAATTTGTTCTACTATTACAAATATTATAATCAAGTTTGATTTTTAATAGAAACAAAGGTTTATGTTTAGTGGGAAAAGAACAACTTTTTTTTTTTAAAAAGGATTTCACTCTGTCATCCACTCTGGAGTGCAGTGGCACGACCTCAGCTCACTGCAACCTCCACCACCCAGGTTTAAGCGATTCTCCTGCCTCAGCCTCCCAAGTAGCTGGGACTATAGGAGTACACCATCATGCCTGGTTAATTTTGTATTTTCAGTAGAGACGGTGTTTCGCCATGTTGCCCAGGCTGGTCAAAACAGTCCTCGGCCGCTTGTACAGTTCTTGAGGGTATGACTGAATAAAGCTTTATTGTTTTGACTGGGTGTGGTGGCTCATGCCTGTAATCCCAGCACTCTGAGAGGCCAAGGCAGAAAGATCACCTGAGTCAGGAGTTCAAGACAAATCTGGCCAACGTGGTGAAACCCCAACTCTACTAAAAATACAAAATTAGCTGGTTATGGTGGCACAGACCTATAAATCCAGCTACTTGGGAGGCTGCAGCAGGACAATCACTTCAACTCTCTGGAGGCAGAGGTTGCAGTGAGCTGAGATCGTGCCACTGCACTCCAGCCTAGGTGACAGAGCAAGACTCCGACTCAAAAAGAAAAACAGAACTGTACGAGGCCCAGTACCTGCCCCCAGAGTGCAGAAGCTCCATTCTAGCGGCTTCTCCTTTTGCCAATCTGAAGTCTCCTGTGTACAAGACCGTTCCATTATTGCCCTGAAATAAAAACCTGAAAAGGAAATATATCTCAGTGACTTCTGAGTCTCACATAAAATCTCAATAAAGCAAATACATGCGAGATGCATGGTAAATGCTTCCTGCAAACATATCCATTATGGTACGATGGTAATGGAATCCCACGATAATTAGAATCTCATGGTAATTAGAACCACACCAGGCACTCGGCTGCTACCGCTTCCCTTGGGTAGAAAACAGTAACAGAATGGAGATGCTACCCAGTTTGTAACAGATGTTCTCTGTGATATGTTAGCACTTTCAATTATATGTTGAGATCATTCTTGCTTACGGAGAGAGAAATCCACGTGATGATAAACTACAAGGTCACTGGAGAAAGAGCTGCTGAAGACTTCCACTTATTTATTTATTTACAAGCGTCTTGCTCTGTCCCCCAGGCTGGAATGCAATGGCACAATCTTGGCCACCTGCAACCTCCGCCTTCTAGGTTCAAGCAATTCTCTGCCTCAGCCTTCCGAGTAACTGGGACTACGGGGGCGTGCCACCACACCCAGCTAATGTTTACATTTTTTGTAAAGACAGGGTTTCACCATATTGGCCAGGCCGGTCTTGAACTCTTGACCTCAAACGATGCACCTGTCTCAGCCTCCCAAAGTGCTAGGATTACAGGCGTGAGCCCCCATGCCTGGCCATGAAGATTTGCACTTTATAAGAAAATCATGTTTCAAATCTGATCTTCACCTCAGTCCCCTAGCTCAATTTGGGAACAAATGTATTTTAAATGGCTAGGAAAATAATCAAATCTTCCTAAATATATTATTATTATTATTATTTTAAAGACAGGGTCTCAGTCTGCTGCCCAGGCTGCAGTACACTGACATGACTGGCTCACTGCAGCCTCCAACTCCCAAGCTCAAGCAGTCCTCCCACCTCAGCCTCCCAAAGCACTGGGATTAGAGACATGAACCATTGCACCCAGATCCCTATTAATTTTAGACCCTAAAAATTTATTTCTACAAATACAGTATGTATCTGCATATAATAAAATGACAAAATAAATGAGCCCCCTTACATAACTGATCCCGGGCAGTGACCAGCTGGTAAAAGAGTCACGACAATCTCTTCCTTCTAAAAAGAAAATAAAGAAAAATCAGTAATGGAAGCAGTGATCATCAGGTCCTACCTCAACAAAGCCCTCCTTCAGAGAACACATTTATGTACCTCCTAAGAATGTGCCTTTTCTCCCAATTTCCTCACTCTCCAAGTCCTAGAAAAAAGTGGAATCCTTGTCCACTTAATACAGTTGCCATAAGACTAATTTCACCACTAGTTACAGAACCAAGAGAAATGAAAACCGATGGCTACACAAAAATGTGCGTTAGTGTTCACAGCAGCATTCTTCACGCTAGCCACAAGGTGGAGTCAGTTCAAATGTCTATCAGCTGAAGAATGAATCAGCAAAATGTGGCCTAGCCATACAATGAAATATTATTTGGCCATAAAAAGAACTGACACATGCTACAATGTGGATGACCCTTGAAAACATCCTCAGTGAAAGAAGCAAGATATGAAATGAACATATTATATGATTCCACTGATAGGAAATAGCCAGGATAGGTGAACCCACGGAGAGAGCGAATCAAATACAGTAGTGGTTGCCAGGGGTTAGGGAAGGAGAAAAGAGGGAGTGATTCCAGTCAGTACAGGATTTCTCCCTTAGGGGGCTGAAAATATTCTGAAATTGACTATGGTGATGGATACACAAGTCTGTGACTCTGACTTCCATTTCAATAAAGTTATTTAACAATTTTTAAAGCCTGGGCCTGGCGCCGTGGCTTACACCTGTAATTCCAGCACTTTGGGAGGCCGAGGCAAGCAAATCCCTTGAGGTCAGGAGTTCAAGACCAGTCTGGCCAACATGGTGAAACCCTGCCTCTACTAAAAATACAGAAATTAGCGGGGCGTGGTGGTGGGCATCTGTACTCTGAGCTACTTGGGAGGCTGAGGCAAGAGAATCACTTGAACCCAGAAGGTGAGATTGCAGTGAGCTAAAATCGCACCACTGTACTCCAGTCTGGGTGACAGAGTGAGACTCAGTCACACACAAAAAAGACAAGTTTAAAGCCTCACGTCCTGGTCCCTATTTACAGTGCCCGTCATACTGTCCCGCAAAGGCAGAGCCTGCGGGCACTACTGCTTCTCCAGCCATTCTTTTTTTTTTTTTTTTTTTTTTTTTTTTTTTGAGACGGAGTTTCGCTCTTGTTACCCAGGCTGGAGTGCAATGGCGCGAACTCGGCTCACCACAACCTCCGCCTCCTGGGTTCAGGCAATTCTCCTGCCTCAGCCTCCTGAGTAGCTGGGATTACAGGCAGGCGCCACCATGCCCAGCTAATTTTTTGTATTTTTAGTAGAGACGGGGTTTCACCATGTTGACCAGGATGGTCTCGATCTCTTGACCTCGTGATCCACCCGCCTCGGCCTCCCAAAGTGCTGGGATTACAGGCTTGAGCCACCGCGCCCGGCCCCTCTCCAGCCATTCTTAAGTCGGGACAGCTCTGCACACAAAGGTGTGCTGCTCAATGACAGTGACCCCTCATGGAAGACTCTGTTCATTACGGGCGACCCTTTCCAACGGCTCTCCCCCTGGTTGGAGCTGGATAAACAACGCACAAAAGCCATGCGCACACACGAAGAAACACAAAAAATCAGAGTGGTGGGCAAGACTGCTCAAAAGCCTGCCTGCTGTTGGCCCCCCAGCTTGGGGAATGCCTTCCACCAATATCCCTGATTGTGACAAGGCCAGAAGCCAATCACACTATTCCCCAGAAAAGCAGGCCAGGATGATATTTATCAAGGTCCATCTATCCGTTTTTTCCCCCCTTTTTAATCCTCCCTTAACTGGCTCTGTATCCTCCCTCAGGATAATCTGATGAGAGAAATACCTCAACTTTACCTGTCTGATCTTCTCCAAAGAAGAAATCTCTGAAAAGGTCAGTTTCTGTTCAGATCACATTCAAACAACACAAGACACCCTCAAAGTTAAACACGGCAAAGCGGTGTGCTATAATCAAGCTACCAAACAAATATTCACCAAAAGAGGAAAATACCTACTAGCTGTAAGATTTTTTTAAAAAGGGGCGGGGGGCATGTCTGTAGTCCTACTTACTATTAAAACCGTACATTCACAAAAGCACTACTTCAAAATTTAATGAGAAATACATGCTTTCCACTCGGCAGTGCCCCTGCTTTGAGTAAGGGTTCAGAAGAAAAATTGCAATATACGTGAATTTGCTGCAAAAATATTAACCACCATTTTAAATTCTGAACATTATAATAAACTCAGTAAATGTGACAATGACATCATGTAGTAATAACAACAACCAGGGTTCCCACCATAAGCACATAATAAGGAACAAATGTGACAAAAAATAAACCATGCCCAATCCTTTACAAATACAGGAGATAAACGTATCTCTGTTAAGAAGTGAATGTTCTTTTCCCTCCCCAAAATTGCTGTGTTGAAATCCTAACCCCCGAAGTGTTTTTCTTAGGAGGCCTGTGGGAGGTGATTAGTTGTTGAGGGTAGAGTGAATGTCATCACTGCCATGTGATGTCATCACTGCCCTTACAAAACAGGCCCAAGGGGGTTTGTTTGCCCCTTGACTGTGGGAGGACATAGAACAAAGACAGCACCTAAGAACCAGCAAGTGGCCGGGCACGGTGACTCCTGCCTGTCATCCCAGCACTTGGGGAGGCCAAGGTGGGTGGATCACTTCAGATCAGAAGTTCAAGACCAGTCTAGCCAACATGGTGAAACCCCCTATCTACTAAAAATAATTACTGGGCACTGGTTGCAGTGGTGGGCACCTGTAACCCCAGCTACTAGAGAGGGTGAAGCAGGAGAATCACCTGAACCAAGGAGGTGGAGATTGCAGTGAGCCAAGATCTCGCCATTGTACTCCAGCCTGGACTACAGAGTGAAGCTGTCTCACAAAAAAAGTAAAAAACCAGGAAGTGGACCCTCTCTGCCGGAGCCTGGATCTCGGACTTCCAGTCTCTAGAACCCTGAGTGATAAAGTGTCTGTTGTATAAGCCATTCAGTCTATGGTAGTTTTGTGAGTACAGCCCAAATGGACTTAGACAATCACAAATGGATTCTTTTTGCCTCTAAAACCCCACTCAATTACTAGACTTTTATTTATGGTTAAAGGAGTATTCAAAATCAAAGAGAAAGACTAAGGTGTAGCTGAAGGGTAGTGCATTTGACTGCAAAGTCAAAGAGGAAGATAAACAATCATTTTAGCACATTTAAAAAAAATCAATATTTAATATTTAGTTACCTCTCCTGATGCTTCATCCACTAAAGATATCTGGGTAGGAGTTTCGATTTCAATAGACATCTGTAAAAATAAAATAAGAGATCATGTAGTTTTTCATGACTTTACATGTCTTTGCCGTCTGAAACACAGAAACAGGGCAAAAAGAAATTTCAGATTGTCTACATAAACAATTCTGATTACGTCGTAATAAATATTCTAACAGTTTAAAAAAATGGTAAAGCAAAAACAATACGTGTCTTGAGGCAGATTTGGCAATATGTAGTAAATGCCTTATAAATGCATATAATGTGGGTCGGGCGTGTGGCCTCCCAAAGTGCCTGTAAGCCCGGCACTTTGGGAAGCCCAGGCAGGTGGATCACCTGAGGCCAGAAGTTCAAGACCAGCCTGACCAACATACAGAAACCCTGACCCTACTAAAAATAAAAGTTAGCCAGGCAGGGTGGCATATGCCTGTAATCCCAGTTACTCTCAAGGCCGAGGCAGGAGAATCACTTGAATCCAGGAGGTGGAGGTTGCAGTGAGCCGAGATCAGGCCATTGCACTCGAGCCTGGGCAACTCCGTCTCAAAAACAAAACAAAACAAAACAAAACAAAAAGTGTATAATCCTTTGATACAACAATTCTATTTCCATGAATTCATTTTTCCTCCTTCATCTCCCCATCCCTACCACTATCATTCCCCTCTCCCTCTGAATTTTGAGTCTTTGTAAAAACACGTGGTCATGTGTCCTGTGTATAAATAGGTTTGTGCCTCAGAATGGGTCCATGACAAGGATGCTTCGTACACTTGTTCTTTTTTTTTAGACCAAGTGTCGATCTGTGGCTCAGGCTGGAGTGCAGTGGTGTGATCTTGGCTGACTGCAATCACCACCTCCCAGGTTCATGCAATTCTCCTGCCTCAGCCTCCCAAGTAGCTGAGGTGACAGGTGCCTGTGATTACGCAAGGCTAATTTTTTGTATTTTTAGTAGAGATAGGGTTTCGTCATATTGGCCAGGCTGGTCTCAAAACTCCTGACCTAAAGTGATCCACCCACCTCGTCTTTCCAAAGTACTGGGATTACAGACATGAGCCACCCAACCCAGCCTCATGTACCCATTCTAAGTGCTGCAGAACTCTTGCTGATGTATTTCCCCCTGCCACCAGAACAGAGACTAGCACATTAGAGACATTCGGTAACTATCTGACGAATGGATCAGTGTGATTTTTCAACTTTTTAGTCCACTAATGTCCCAAAATGTACAGTGTCTAAGGTTTGGATGTTAAAATATTTTTCTATTTCTGCAATAAAACATCTTATTCATGATTCACTATTTAATACTGCTAGATTCAGTTATTATCTTCATGAAGATTCTCACATGTTCATGTATGAAATGGCTTTTTTCATATTTACTGTTTTTGAGATATGGTCTCATTGTTGCCCAGGCTGGAATTCAGTGGCACAAACACAGCTCACTGTAGCCTGGGACTCTTGGGCTCAACCTCATCCTCCCTCCTCAGCCTCCCTAGTAGCTGAGACTATAAGTGTGTGCTTCCATGCCTAATTTTTTAATTTTTGTAGAGATGTGGTCTATGTTTCCAGGCTGGTCTCAAACTCCTCGGTTCAAGCAATCCTTCCGCCTTGGCCTCCCACAGTGCTGGGATTATAGGTATATGCGTCATCTCTTTGGCTACCAAAGTTAAGCTGCTTATCTTTCTATCATTTCCTACAACAACTCATCTAATATATGGATTATTTCTTTTTTGAACATTTGGTAAAATGCACCTATAAAACCATCTGGACCAGAGGCTTTTTAAAAAATAAAATCCTTGATAATTGTTTACATTTCTTTGTCACCCAGGCTGAAGTACAGGGGCACGATCTTGGCTCACTGCAACCTCTGCCTCCCGGGTTCAAGTGATTCGCCTGCCTCAGGCTCCTGAGTGGCTGGGATTACAGGTGCCAGCTAATTTTTGTATTTTTAGTAGAGATGGGATTTCACCAAGTTGGCCAGGCTGGTCTCAAACTCCTGATCTCAGATGATCGGCCTGCCTCCGCCTCCCAAAGTGCTGGGACAACAGGCATGGGTCTCCAACACCTGACCCTTGTTTACAGTTCTGTAATGGTTACTGATGTACTCAAGTTTCCTACTCTTCTTGCCTCAGCTTTGTATTTTTCTATTTTTCCAGATATTTATCTACTTTGTCTAAATTATCAAATAGACTAGCATATTTAATTTTGTAAAAAAACGGGATTGCTGTGTTAGTAGTTATTTTTCCTTTGTATTCTTCTGTATTGTTATATGCATTTTTGCTGGGAAAAAAAAAAAAAAAAGTCAGGCCAGGCACGGTGGCTCACACCTGTAATCCCAGCACTTGGGGAGGTCAAGGATGGTAGATCACTTGAGGTCAGGAGTTCGAGACCAGCCTAGCCAACATGGTAAAATTTCGTCTCTACTAAAATTACAAACATTAGCCTGGTGTGGTGGTGGGCACCTTTAATCCTAGCTACTTGGGAGGCCAAGTGAGAAGAATCACCTGAACCCAGGAGGTAGAGGTTGCAGTAAGCTGAGATCACGCCACTACACTCCAGGCTGGGAGACAGAGGGACACTCCATTTAATTAAAAAAAAAAAAAAAAAAAAAAAATCAATCTTGGCAGAAATTGCTCTTTCCAGAACCAGCTTTTAATTTTGTTAATCCTCTTTTATTTTCTACTGTAGTGGTTAGTCTGTATACCTTAAACCGCTGCTTTTACCTTTATTCTTTCTTTCCTTAGGTTTGCTTTGTTCTTCCAATTCAATCTTACTGAGTTGAAGATTTCTTTCATTTACTTTTGAGATGGAATCTCGCTCTGTCTTCCAGGCTGGGGTGCAGTGGCATAATCTCAGCTCGCTGCAACCTCCACCTCCCGGATTCAAACAAATTTCCTGCCTCAGCATACCAAACAGCTGCTACAGGTGACTACCACCATGCCCGGCAAATTTTTCTATTTTTAATAGAGATGAAGTTTCGCCATATTGGCCAAGCTGGTCTCAAACTCCTGACCTCAGGTGATCCGCTTGCCTTGGCCTCCCAAAGCACTGGGATTACAGGCATGAGCCACAGTGCCCAGCCTCTTTTCTAATATATCAATTTAAGGCTATCAATTTACCTTCACGTGCAAATTTAGCTATGTTTCACACAGTGACACGCCACATTTCCACTGTCCATCAGCTCCTTCCCCTCCCTACCATCGAGACGGAGTCTTGCTCTGTCAGCCAGGCTGGAGTGCAACGGTGCCATATCAGCTCACTGCAATCTCCACCTGCTGGGCTGAAGTGATTCTCCTGCCTCAGCCTCCTGAGTAGCTGGTTAATACCAGGCACCTGCCACCACGCCTGGTTAAGTTTTGTATTTTTAGTAGAGACGGGGTTTCACCATGTTGGCCAGGCTGATCTCAAACTCCTAACATCATGATCAACCCGCCTCGGCCTCCCAAAGTGTTGGGATTACAGGCGTGAGCCACAGCGCCAGCCTCCTCTTTTTTTTGAGACACGCTCTGTGTTAGCCAGCCTGGAGTGCAGTGGTGCAATCACGGCTTGCTGTATCCTCAAACTTCTCGGCTCAAGTGATTTTTCTGCCTCAGCCTTCTGAGTGGCTGAGACTACAGGCACACACTACCATACCAGGCTAATTTTTAAGGTTTTTGTTTTTTAAAGACATGGGGACTTGCTGTGTTGCCCAGGCTGGTTTCAAACTCCTAGATTCACACGATCTTCCCACCCCAGCCTCCTGAAGTGCTAGGATTAACACGTGAGCCCCCCAAGCCTGGCCACGTCAGTTCTACATATTACGTTTTATTTATTGTACAATTTCCTTTTTAACCTAAGGGTTAGTTATTGTACCCATTTAGTTTCCATGTGTCTGGGAACATTTTAGCTGTCCCTCTGTTTCTGATCTCCAGTATCACCGCATTCTTTTGTGACACAGGACATGGTCAGTTTCTGTAAATGCCATGGATACCCCAAAGTATTGTCTTCTCCACTGAGTATAAAGTTCTGTTTATCTGTCCACATTTATACGTTTTCTGCATCTTCACTTATTCCCTGCCTCCTCCTTTTTTCAGCATCTCGGAGGAGCGTGTTAAGCTCTCCAGTGACAACTGTTGATTTCCTATTTCTCGCCCTGATTCTGCGGTGGCCTTGTACCATGCCAACTCATCTATGCTGGAACTATCTGCTAGAAACCCTTTCCATGTTGTTGCCCAAAAGAAACATTCAGACAGCAGACGTGAACTAGCAGGATACTTTTAGTGCTCTGAAGGGCACCAGAAATGGTACCAGCACTGTTGACCTTCTGGCTTAACTCAGAGACTTGGGCAGGGCCACAGCCATGCCAGCTTCTGCTAGGTGCGCCTCTGTGAAGCTTCCGAGTCCTGGGGCAGGTCCAGGTGCCTCAGAGCCAAAGCAGGAGACCCGTGCTATTGAGGCTGGAGGAAGTGGGAGACAGAAGGGGGTTTCCGGCTGTCCTCCCAGGCTCAGTGGGCCATTGTGCATTCCAATTTGTCTCTGCTCTCCTCCGTTTCTCTTCCAGCTTTCCTTCCTGACTGCTGGCCAGGGTGAGTAGTAGCAACTTCCAGCCAAATGCCAGAGACAAGCGGGACAGCCTTGCTGTTGTGACTGCTCTGCAGAGGGAGGGAGACCCCCTTCCCAATCAAAGGTCAGGTAGTGAGGACGATACCAAGCATGAAAACACATGTGCACATATGTGTGTGCACATACACACACTGAGAGGATGAGAAGAAAGCCTCTGTCACATGACAGCACTTTCGGGGAGGGCAGTGTAGTCCCTAAGCTGGAGACAGAAGTGTCTCCTGCGGCTTGAGAAAGAGTAGGAGCAAGCAACCCTTTCCAGTGTGGTTCAGGGTGGGCCTGGGTATGCCTGGTTTAATCTTCACAGTGCTAAGGCGGGCAGAGGCCTTTACGTCAGCTTGCCCAAATGTGGGCGGGGGGAAGTGCTGGTCTTGACAGCTACAAGCAATTCAACAACAAACAGAGGCCAGGGGCAGTGGCTCACACCTGTAATCCCAGCACTTTGGGAGGCAAAGGCGGGCGGACTACCTGAGGTTAGCAGTTCTTAAAGACCAGCCTGGCCAACATGGCAAAAGTTCATCTCTACTAAAAAAAAAAAAAAATACAAAAATTAGCGAGGCGTGGTGATGCAGGCCTCTAAGCCTAGCTACTAGGGAGACTGAGGCAGGAGAATTGCTTGAACCTGTTAGGCAGAGGTTGCAGTGAGCAGAGATCACGCCACCGCACTCCAGCCTGGGTGACAGAGTGAGACTGTCTCAAAAAAAAAAAAAAGCAGACTCTTTGTGACACTTGGGACAAACTGCTCTCCCAACTCCCACAAAGATTTAAGACCTACTCCACATAATGAACTCACATTCTGTTTACTACGGTTCTCCTCATATTAAGCACTGGGTGACAGGGTCTCACAGTTTCGACTTCAGCTGGAGGCTGTTTTGTCAACTGCGCATACGTCCGTATGACCCGTGGGTAACACCCTCCTCCACCCTAGCTTCTTTTACCGTCTACTTTCTCTGATATAAAAACTGCCACTCCGGCACTTTTGGCTTCTAATTGCTTAGTGATTTTTTCCCCTTTTCCTTCCCCCCAAGTTTTATTTTTCAACCTATATTTATCCTTGTTTTATTTATGTCTCTTGTAGACTAATACTGATGTATTTGTCTAATCTTTTTTTTTTTTTTTTTTGGAGATGGAGTCTCGCTCTGTCATCCAGGCTGGAGTACAACGGTGTGATCTCAGCTCCTCTCACTGCAACCTCTGCCTCCCAGGTTCAAGCAATTCTCCTGCCTCAGCCTACCGAGTAGCTGGGATTACAGGCACTTCCACCACACCCAGCTAATTTTTTTTATTTTTAGTAGAAATGGGGTTTCACCCTATTGGCCAGGCTGGTCTCCAACTGACTTCAAGCGATCTGCCCACCTCAGCCTCCAGAAGTGCTGGGATTACAGGCGTGAGCCACTGTGCCCAGCCAGATTTGTCTAATTTTTTTTTTTAACTTAAACTGAGAATTTGTCTTTTGATCAAAGGTAGAATTAAATCCTTTCCTATATATAGAAATTACTGTTAAAATCAGACTTTTTCTGCCTACTTTGCATTTTCTATACACCAGACTTTTTTCTCCCCTTGACTACCTCACATTAGACAAATGCATTTTGTTCTGCCAAATGGAAAGTTACCCATTCAGCCAAGCGCGGTGGCTCACACATGTAATCCCAGCACTTTGGGAGGCCGAAGCAGGCAGATCCTCAGGTCAGGAGATCGAGACCAACCTGGCTAACACAGTGAAACCTCATCTCTACTAAAAATCCAAAAAAATTGGCCAGGCATGGTGGCATGCACCTGTAGTCCCAGCTACTTGGGAGGCTGAGGCAGGAGAATCACTTGAACCAAGGCGGCAGAGAATGCAGCGAGGCGAGATCAGGCCACTGCACTCCAGCCTGAGCAACAGAGCGAGACCCTGTCTCAAAAAGAAGAAAAAAAAAAAAAAGAAAACTTACAATTCGTTTCTCCCAAAATCTGTATTTCGGGTTAGTTAACAGTAACTCCTTAGTCACAGGTGAACAGTATAGGCAAACTTTCAAGCTGAAAGGAAAAAAGAAAACACTTTCAATACAATCCAAAATGAGCCATTTTTGTGACTCGGAAATCTATTTCATCATACATCAGTGTTCTGTAATAATTCAGAAATTATGCTGGCACAGAATTTGTGAGAGTCACTTCCAGCATACCTATGCCCACCATTTCAGTGCCATCAGGAGCACAAGGCATGAGTGGAAGTACAGTGTTCCCTGGACCTCCTCCAACAACCATCCGTCACCACTGTTACTTAGAAATGCATGCTTGCATGTGACAGGTGTGCCTGGAAAGGTAACGCCACACATTACGCTACCTCTGGAAAAGGTGTGCTGGGAACAGAAACTTCTGCTTTTTACTCTATATGTCTATTTTTTTTTTTTGAGACTGAGTCTCTGTCACCCAGGCTGGAGTGCAATGGCACAATCTCGGCACACTGTAATCTCTGCCTCCCAGGTTCAAGTGATTCTTCTGTCTCAGCCTCCTGATTAGCTGGAACTGCAGGTGCGTACCATGATGCCTGGCCAATGTTTGTATTTTTGTAGAGATGAGATTTCACCATGTTGGCCAGGCTGACCTTGGGTGATATGCCTGCCTCGACCTCCCAAAGTGATAAAATTACAGGGGTGAGCCACCAAGCCCAGCCTTTTTTTTTAATGAAAAGAAATTAATTTCATACTAAACTTTTAAAATGTAATGTTATCATTTAGAGGTTAGGAATACAGTCCATGGCAGAATGAATTTTCCAAAGATGGTCACACAATGATATACCCCATCCATACATGCTCTCGTTACAAAATAGATATTAAAATTCCTCCACTGACCGGAGGGGTCTATGTTCCCTCCCCTTGAACCTGGGCAGTTTTCTGCAATGACCTTTCCTACAGAATGTGGTGGAAGTTACTGCGTGGCTTTTGAGGTTAGATCTCTAGGCACCATATCTTCCTTACGGCTTTCTCTTAGGACACACACTTTTTAACCCTGGGTCTCCATTTTAACACTTCTGGCTATCCTGACGGACGCATGCTAAAGAGACTTTTTGGTGGGGGAGTGGGGGCTTGCTCTGTCACCCAGGCTGGAGTGCAAGTGATCCTCCCACTTCAGGAGCCTGAGCAGCTGGGACTAAAGCACACGTCACCACACCTGGCTAATTTTTCATAGTTTCTGTAGAGAAAAGGTCTCCCTGTGTCATCCCGGCTAGTTTCAAACTCCCAGGCTCAAGTTGTCCTCCCACTTCACTTCCCAAAGTGCTGGGATGAGTAGCCTGAGCCACCATGCCTGGCGTAAAGAGACAGAGATAGAGATGCCTAACGCGTGTAATCCCAACACTTTGGGAGGCTGAGGCAGGCCAATTATTTGAGGTCAGGAGTTTGAGACCAGCCTGGCCAACATGGTGAAAACCTCTCTCTACCAAAAGTACAGAAAGTATATGGGTGTATACTTTAATCCCAGCTACTTGGGTGGCTGAGGAAAGAGAATCACTTGAACCCAGAAGGCAGAAGCTGCAGTAAGTTGAGATCGTGCCACTGCACTCCAGCCTGGGAGACAGAGCAAGACCCTGTTGCAAAAATAAATAAATAAATAAATAAATAAAAATAAAATAAAAAATAAAAAATTATAGGCCAGGTGCAGAGGCTCATGTCTGTAATCCCAGTGCTTTGGGAGGCCAAAATGGGAAGATTACTTGAAGCCAGGAGTTTAAACCCAGCCTGGGCAACATGGTAACACCCTGACTCTCCAAAAAAAAAAAGAAAAAAAAGAATTGAACTAAGAAATACACAGTGCCCAGATATGGTAAGTATTCAATAAATATTAGCTATCATTATTAAGAACAAAGACTAGTGCTATTGATTAGCAGAGAAACCGGACATCCAGTGGCCCTTTACAAATACGTATCTTGAGAACTGGGAATTTAGATTTAGGCAGTGGCTACAAGAAAAGCATCTAATAGTTCAGCTTTAAGAAAATACCCGGTACTGTATGACCCTTTACAATGGAGCAGCCATTCTCTCTCACCTACTCTTACACAAATAACAAGGAATGAGTTACTGCTGTACCCAACAGCATAGATGAATCACACAAACATAATGTTAGGTAAAATAAAACAAATATAAAAGAGCCTATTTGGGGCTGGTGCCACTGGCTCACATCTGCAATTCCAGCCCTTCAGGAGGCTGAGGCAGGAAGATTGCTTGAGGCCAGGAGTTCGAGATCAGCCTGGCCGACATAGCAAAACTCCATCTCTTTTAAAAGACTTTATTTGGTATGATTCCATTTATATAAAGTTCACAAACAGCCAAAGCTAATCCATGATGATAAAAGTCAGAAGAGAGGTTATCTTTGGGAGGAGGGAAAGACTGGGGAGGAAGCAAAGGTCTGGGATATTGGTACTGTTCTATTTCTTAATCTGAGTGAAGCTACACAAATGCATTCACTTTGTAAAAGACTATCGTTAGGCCGGGCGCGGTGGCTCAAGCCTGTAATCCCGGCACTTTGGGAGGCCGAGGTAGGTGGATCACGAGGTCGAGAGATTGAGACCATCCTGGTCAACAAGGTGAAACCCGGTCTCTACTAAAAATACAAAAAATTAGCTGGGCATGGTGGCACGTGCCTGTAATCCCAGCTACTCAGGAGGCTGAGGCAGGAGAATTGCCTGAACCCAGGAGGCGAAGGCTGCGGTGAGCCGAGATCGCACCATTGCACTCCAGCCTGGGTAACAAGAGCGAAACTCCGTCTCAAAAAAAAAAAAAAGAAAAAAAAAAGACTATCGTTAGATGTATGTACTTTTCTGTACAGATATTATCTCTTAATTAAAATGTTTGCTTTGTAATCCCAGCTATTTGGGAGGCTGAGGCAGGAGAACTGCTTGAAATGGGACCCTGTTGCAGTGAGCCGAGATTGTGTCACTGCACTCCAGCATGGGCTACAGAGTGAGACTCCATCACACACACAAAAAAATGTTTGCTTAAAAACACACACATGGGACCGGGTGCGGTGGCTCATGCCTGTAATCCCAGCACTTTGGGAGGCTGAGGCGGGTGGATCACCTGAGGTCGAGAGCTCAAGACCAGCCTGACTCAACATGATGAAACCCTATCTCTACCAAAAATACAAAAATTAGCTGGGTGTAGTGGCATGTGCCTGTAGTCCCAGCTACTTAGGAGGCTGAGACAGAGGAATTGCCTGAACCCAGGAGACAGGGTTGCAGTGAGCCAAGACGGTGCCATTGCACTCCAACCTCAGTGACAGAGCAAGACTCCATCCCCCACAAAAAAACCACACATGGCTGGGCACAGTGGTTCACATCTGTAATCCCAGCACTTTGCGAGGCTTGGCTGAGATGGTAAAACCTCGTCTCTACTAAAAATACAAAAATTAGGAGGGTGCAGTGCAGGTGCCTGTAATCCCAGCTACTCAGGAGGCTGAGGCAGGAGAATAGCTTGAACCTGGGAGACGAAGGTTGCAGTGAGCCAAGATCATGTCACTGCACTCTAGCCTCAGTGACAGAGCAAGACTCCATCTAAAACACACACACACACACACACACACACACACACACACGTAGAAAAATAAATTACCTGCACTCCAGCCTTCTTTTCAAGGCAGGGGCTCTTAATCCCTTCATGTGATCTAAAAACATAAGAACCAAAATTCATAAATGTTATTTTCCAGAGGATTACTTGGCCCAGAGGAAACAGTTGTCTACTTTTTCAGCTTCCTTTTAAGAAAAAAACCTATGAGGATTGCTTTTATAAGAATGGATTCACATGGGCTATGGGCTCTGTCTTCTGCAAGTGAAGAATCCGTCTGAGAACAGGACAGGCTGGCGGTCTCTGAGCCATGGAGATCAATTTTAAAAGAGTGATTCTCTGCATCATAGGGCAGTTTAAAATCACTTTGGGCAGCCACACAAGAAAGCGATACGCTTCTAGCCCTCCACTCTCCTACTTCATTTCAATCCAACCATCCTTCCAGCCTCCCTCTGTGTTACCCAATCACTTCCTGCCACTTAAATCAGTCTATCTAGAAATTCAAGCCCATGACCACGAAATCAGCTAGGAAATCACTCAGGAGCAGAATAAGTGTTTCATCATTTTTTCAGCCTACTGTGATGATGGATTGAAAGGAAAATATTACTATCCACAAAGACTTGCTCCATAGCCTTCCACATTAACAGGCATAGAAAAGTAACACTGAGATTAGTACTCTAAGTATGTCATGCATTCCAATATATTCTGAATCTTTAGCACGTAAAGGCCTAGACAACAATGACTAAACACTTCTTATTTGTTTAATTAAACCAGCTGGGTGTGGTGGCTCATGCCTGTAATCCCAGCACTTTGGGAGGCTGAGGCGAGCGGATCATCCGAGGTTAGAAGTTTGAGACCAACCTGGCCAACATGGTGAAACCCCATCTCTACTAAAAACACAAAAATTAGCTGGGCATGGTAGCAAGTGCCTGTAATCCCAGCTACCTGGGAGGCCTAGGCAGGACAATCACTTGAACACGGGAGGTAGAGGGTGCAGTGAGCCAAGATCACACCACTGCACTCCAGCCTGGGCCACAGAGTACAACTTCATCTCAAAAACAAACAAGAATGATAAATTGTTTAGCTAAACCAAACCCGTTCTAATTACCACCAGCACCACCACAAACAAGCACATCCTCAATTTATGTGTGGCTATCATTAGACTATCATTAGGGAAAACAGAGCAGTCACCCCACGTCACTGGGCAGCCCTTGACTGGATACATTCCTCCAGGAGAGTCCACCTGTGTCCCAGTGGGTGAATTCCCTCAAGGTATACCTGGTCCAGTCTTTTAGGGCCTATGGGTGTATCGGGGGGCAGGACTCTCCATAACTGGAGTTTCCAAAGTTTCTGCCACAGCAAAGAGGAGGCTGGATCTGGACTCTGCTCGATGCTCCCACACTGACTAACTAAGCAGGCAGCACCCCACATGGTCACCATGATCCCTCCTCCTCACCACCCCAAGGGCCCTTCCAACTGGTGGTCAGAAGCACTGGGTGAGTCTGCTTTGTGCTGCTGGACCTGCACCCAGGGTCTCCTTTTCCAGGGATGTTTTCCTTTTCCTTGGCCACAATGAATTATCTGAAGTTGCCCCGTCAGGGGGATTTCCCCAACCCTGGGCCACTGTCTCAGGCCTCAGGCCTTGGGTCTCAGGTGTCTTCTCATCTTCCAGAACTTACTGATGATACTTAGTAAAGCCCACCTGAGCACAGCAGTGGCTTCCGGATGGCCCACAAATAAGCATCAGGTGGGTCCATGGCCTACTCTGAATTATATCAAAATACGATGTGGGGCTGGATGACAGTGCCTCAAACTTGTCATCCCAGCACTTTGGGAGGCTAAGGCGGGTGGACCACTTGCCCCCGAGAAGTTCTATACTAGCCTTGGTAACATGGTGAAACCCCATCTCTATAAAAATACAAAAATTAGCCAGGCATGACAGCGCATGCCTGTAGACCCAGCTACTCAGGTGGGAATGTTTGCTGAGGTGGGAGGATTACTTGAGTCCAGGAGGTGGAGGCTGCAGTGAGCTGTGATCCTGCCACTGCACTCCAGCAATGGGCGACACAGAAAACCCTGTCTTGAAAAGGAAAAAAAAAAAGTGATGTGGATGGGTTTTTATGCATTTTTTCTAGCAAAAGAGTTCATACGGTTTCTCCTGCTCGAGCTGCTGTAACAAGATACCACAGATACCATAGCTGGCCTTCACACCAACCCTATGAAGAAAGGCAGTGTTTTGGTTGCTTTATATACCAGAAAAGTATTTCTCACAGTTCAGGAAGCTGCGAAGTCCAAGATCAAGGTGCAGGACGATTTGGCTTTTGGGAAGGGCATGTTTCCTAACTTACAGCCACCTTCTCACTGTGCACTCACATGGCTTTCCTTCGTACGGATGCATGAAGACAGAGTGCCCTTTCTCTTCCTCCTGTTGTAAGGGCAATAATCGTATCCCAGTAGGATGCCACAGTATGACCTCACTTAAATTTAACTTCCTCCCAAAAGCCCCAGCCCCAAATACAGTCACTTTGGGGGTTAAGGCTTCGACATAGGAATTTTATGGAGATAGTCCATATCATAATTAAAGAAGCCTGTGTCCCAAAGAGTTTAAAAGGCAACAGAAGGCAATGTTAGAAACCTCCAAAAGCAGAAGTTGAGTTTCTGGCCCTTGATGAGTTTATGTGCTGGTTGAGTAAGCAGATCCACATGTGGTTAGAGAACAAAAAAAGTTGTTATGGACTGTTCAACAGCAACAGAGTCCATTCTCCCTTAATGCACAAACTGATGGTCGTGACTTCGCAAATTCCTTTAGAGGAATTATTTCTCCCAACTCACTAGTCCTGAATATGAAGTGCAAGCTTCTAAAGTATACTTTAATCCTGGCTAGCCCGTTCTGAGTTCAGGGACTCCAGGTGAGACTCGACACAAAAAGTACAAATAGGGGCATCCTCGTCCAGCAATGGATTCTCAATGAAAAACAAAACCAGAAATCTGCCAGGCACGGTGGCTCATGCTGGTAATCCTAGCACTTTGGGAGGCTAAGGTGGATGGATCACCTGATGGCCAGGAGTTCGAGACCAGCCTGACCTAGATGGCAAACCGCCGTGTGTACTAAAAACACAAAAATCAGCCGGGCATGGTGACTCACTCCTGTAGTCCCAGCTATTCAGGAGGCTCAGATAGGAAGATCCTTTGAGCCCAGGAGGTCAAAGCTGCAGTGAACAGAGAGCACGTGCCACTGCACTCCAGCCTGGGCAACGAAGGGAGACCTTGTCTCCAAAAAAAAAAAAAGACGCTCAAAGAGGTGCATGGTGCTAATATGGCAACGCACCAGAGGAGGTCCAGATTTTCCTCATTAAAGAGAAATCACTGGTGGCTTTGTGGAAAAAAAGCAGAGACATTTCCCAGAAGTAGTAATTTCAACAATTTATAGTCCAAGTGATTGATTCTACATACAAGACAATAGTTGGCCTTCACACCAATCCTGTGAGGAAAGGCAGTGTTTGGATACCTGCAATTTACTTTAAAACACTTTCCCATTGTGCATGTGCAGATGGGTTTGTTACACTGATTGACTCCACAGGGTAGCGGGAGCATCCTGCTCCAGTATTATGACACCGCCGGAGGCAGCAACTCCAGCAATGCAACTGATCATTTTCTCCAATTAATACTAATGGACGAGCTAATTAGCACAATGAGCATTAAAACTGTTTTCACTCGTAAAAGTTAGTGACTTACTTGCATAATAGAAGTGAAAATGAATAACGGTTGTGAAATTTGCTCCAATCTCTGCCTGGAGTATCCAGCCTCGAGCTCCTATGATTAACAGAGACACTCTAACCTTAATCCCCTAAATCGGTCCAGCTGTGAAAGGATCCAGCTGTAAAATCATAGCTGCTCTTCTGGTTGCCTGACACCATCTAGAAGGGTAAAATCCCGCCATCCTAGACGGGAGCAAAGCTTTTATACTGCATGCTGAGAGAACATCCAAAGGCCAGGGAGCCTGTACTTCATGGAGTTCTCAGGTGGGCTGTTTCATAATTGTGTGTGTCTGAGTGTGCCTGCATGCTAACCAATGTTTCAGGGTGTGGTCAAACGGATCTGAAACTTGTTTTCTTTATACAGGGTGGCGAGGCTCTGGGAGAAGAACTAACCCTCGCCCATCTCTAACCATCGGCCACCAGCAGAGCTACCAAGGGAACCTACTAGGAGTGCCCGATCAAGCTGGCTCGGGGCGCAACTGGCAGGCGCTGTTACGCCGCGATGCCCAGATCCGAAAATAGATGAAGCCTTTGAAAGGCTGAAGAGCCCGACGGAGACAAGGTGTGCTGGCCCCACCCTCGATGGCCTCCCACAGGCTGCAGGCCCTTGCTCCACGGCCGGGCCCTCTCGTCCTCTCTCCAGCCACCCGCGCCCTGGGAGCTGGCGACGCGCAGCACTCACTCACCCTTGTGGCAGTGGGACAGGAAGTAGGCGCGGGCCCTCAGGTTCTCCCTGTCGAAGCGGTCTATGGAGATGGTTGGATACTCGGCCATCTGTCCCTCGAAGCAACTCATAGTGCCACCAATACCAACGCCGTGAACCCCACACCCGCAGATGAAGCCCAGGCCTGCCCCTACCGCGGGGCCACTTCCGGGAAGCCGCGCGCCGCTTCGCCATTGGCCGGCCGAACGCAGCCGTGTCCAATGAGAGAAACCAGGAGACGGACGGCAGAGCCAAGGAGCTTCCGGTAGGGCTCTTCCGGTCGGGCTCCCGGCGCCAGCTGCCTGGAGTTTAAATCGCCCGCGCTGCGCTGCACGGGGTGGGCCCCGAGTCCCGCCCAGTGCAAAGCTCATTCCTGCCAGACGAACGCAGGTGTTGCTCTGGTTAGGCGTTGCCGGTGTCTGTGCAGGTGCAGTCGCGCGAACGGAACCCGAAACTTCCAGATCTGGCGGCCCCAGCCGATGAGGCGAGCGGGCTGCGGAGCTGCCTTTAGAAATCATTCTTGGAGGCCCGGCGTGGTGGCTCACGCCTGTAATCCCAGCACTTTGGGAGGCCGAGGCGGGTGGATCACGAGGTCAAAAGATCGAGACCATCCTGGTCAACAGATCGAGACCATCCTGGTCAACATGGTGAAACCCCGTCTCTACTAAAAATACAAAAAATTAGCTGGGCATGGTGGCACGTGCCTGTAATCCCAGCTACTCAGGAGGCTGAGGCAGGAGAATTGCCTGAACCCAGAAGGCGGAGGTGAGCCGAGATCGCGCCATTGCACTCCAGCCTGGGTAACAAGAGCGAAACTCCGTCTCAAAAAAAAAAAAAAAAGAAAGAAAAGAAAAGAAATCATTCTTGGTTCCGCTTCCGTAGAAACCAGAGTTCAGTTCCCCCCTCTTTCTCTTCTCTTCCCAATTTCTAACCTTCTGGGGTAACCGTGCGGATTGTATGAGAAAGTTTGTATCTAACTCATGAGATTCCGTAACTATTAATTCTCTGTTCTGTTTATATAATCTACCAACTGAATAAGCTGTCTCTGCGTGATCGTGAGGCAAATAAGATTCCAATAATGTCTTAGCAGCTCCCTCTCCCCGGGCCCCTCCCCGCCCACACACACCTTTTTGAGCTATACTTTTAAGAAGTTATTGATAGGAGGAAAGGTCAAAATTTTTTTGACAACCAAAGCAACTTTATGAAAAGGTTTGTTAAAGTACTGTATTAAAATTCACCAAATAACCACAATTGAAGAAGAGTTAAATAATAGCAATAATAGTAAAAGCAAAACGTTATAATTTGTAGTTGCTATATAATAAGTTTTGTTGTGCTGTGTGCTGTTTAATATAAAACCTAACCCCCAGCTCTACTTAAAATTAACTCCTTGTAAAACCTGTCTTTTCTAGTCTCCCACATTCTCGGCAAAGTTCTCAGGCATCTCAAGACTCCTGTTTTTCTTGCTGACCAGCTGCAAGGTCACAGGGCAAGATAACACCCAAAGAATGTACAATGCGTTTCTCAAAATGCTATTTCTCGAATATAACATACATCACAAAACATGTTAGAAATTAATTAACTGTTCTTTGTTCTGGCTTCTGTAAACCTGTTAGCTGCTATGTCATCCTGGATGTATAAAAAGTACCCCATTTTCTTTCTCCTTGGCTCAGTCTTGGGATGGTAATTTGTTGAGCCGGTGGCCACCTTCATAAAATCCTCCTGTTTCACCCAGTGGTCTCTTTGGTCTCTTAAATATTCTGCAACACAATGATGTTTATTGTGCTCCTTCTTATCAAATCTCCTTCAACAGTATAATTAAACAACCCAGAACACATTTATTGATTGATTAATTGATTGATTGATCAAGGTCTAAGTTCTGTGGCCCAGGCTGCACTGCAGTGGTGCGATCTCAGCTCACCGCAACCTCCACCTCCCTGGTTCAGGTGATTCTCCTGCCTCACCCTCCAGAGTACCTGGGATTACAAGTGCCTGCCACCACGCCCAGCTAATTTTTGTATTTTTAGCAGAGACGAGGCATCACCACATTGACCAGGCTGGTCTTGAGCTCCTGCCCTCATGCGATCCGCCCACCTTGGCCTCCCAAAATGCTGGGTTACACACATGAGCCCTGCCAGGCCTCCATAACACTTGAAGTCCCATTTTGTGCACAGCACGGTGACAAGCCTTTGGGTAGCATTCAAACTATCTGGAGACAACACGTTTGCAGAATATGGCAAACAAAATCAGAGATGCAAAGTAACATGAGAATAAATCCAGGAACAAAGATTTCTGATCAGGGAAATCAGGAATCAAAATACCATCCCGGGCGGGCTTTGCCTGTAATCCCAGCACTTTGGGAGGCTGAGGCGGGTGAATCATCTGATGTCCGGAGCTCAAGACCAGGCTGGCCAACATGGTGAAAACCTGTCTCTACTAAAAATACAAGAAGTCAGGAGTGGTGGCACATGTCTGTAATTCCAGCTACTCAGGAGACTGAGGCAGAAGAATCACTTGAACCTGGGAGGCAGAGGTTGCAGTGAGCCAAGATCATGCCACTGCACTCCAGCGTGGGCAACAGAGAGAGATTCTGTCTCAAAAAACAAAACAAGGCTGGACATGTTGGCTCACGCCTATAATCCCAGCACTTTGGGAGGCTGAGGCAGGCAGATCACCTGAGGTCGGGAGTTCGAGACCAACTTGACCAACATGGAAAAATCCCCTCTCTACCAAAAACACAAACTTAGCTGGGTGTGGTGGCACATGCCTGTAATCGCAGCTACTCAGCAGGCTGAGGCAGGAGAATCGCTTGAATCTGGAAGGAGGAGGTTGCAGTGAGCCAAGATCATGCCATTGCACTCCAGCTTGGGCAACAAGTGTGAAACTCTGTCTCAAAAAAAAATTTAAAAAGGGAAAAAAGAATGTCATCCCTAGTGAATATCACCTTGTTCCTGTAATCATGATACTCAGAGTTCTATTTAAATACAAATTCCCATGAAATATTGAGGAGCAGGAGGAGAGGTGACGTGGAGAGGTATAGACAACATAATCATTAATTTAGGTAAAATATCCTGCTAGTATACTACTGGCAACACCTTTGATGGTCTGTCTTAGAACACATGTGAACAACTGCCCAGGCAGAGTTATGGAGACCTAACAACAAATTCTGTTGTGAGTCTGTTGTCTGAAGAATCTCACAGACTTTGGAGCTCCAGGAAAGGCAGGTCAAGATAATGCTCATGATCTTATATATTTGCTCACTTTTTTACCTCCTCCTCTTTCCACAATGGATGTAGTACAGACGAAGGGAAACAGAGTCAGGACAAGGGAAAGATAGGGTAGAAAATAGGCAAGATAGGTAAGCACAGCCCAGACCAACCTAGTGAATCAGAGACTCTAGGAGAGTGGGACCTGGCAATCTGCAGCTTAACACATGCTCTAGGTGATTCTGACATATAAGTCAGCAGATTGCACTGATAGATATGGAAAGAGAGGGCTCTATGCCTCACCTACTAAAAGACATGAAGAAGGAGCAGGGTTTTTGTTTTTGTTTTGGCAGGGAGGTGTTTGGGGAGGTTATGTTGGAAAACCAAGTGGATGTTGAATATACATTGGATATACAAACCTAAAGTTCAGAGAAAGATCGGGCTGAAGAAATAAATTTGGGAATAAGTAAATAGTTGTGTTTTTTTGGTTTTCAGTTTTACTATGTGTTGCCTTTGTTTTAATATGACTCATTTGTTTACAAGTTTATATAATTTAATTTGTAATATGGCTTGTGTGTGTTTTTGTTTTGTTTTGGACAGGTGCCCCAGGCCCTTGTCATCTTCATGCTCATGGCTTGTATTTAACAACTGGCTCAAAAATTCCTAAAAATTGAATTACCGAGTCATGAGAGCTCTAATGAGCTGGCTCCAGCCCACAGCTGTTCCTTTCATTCAACAATTTCACAAATCCTGATGTCTCTACGTTCAAAACCTGTATCTCGAAACTGATCACTTTTCGCTAAAATAGATAGTACTGTACTATAGTAATAGATAATGCTAGAAAAAATAATTAAAGCTATAGATACCATTTATTGTAGGTTTACTTATTGCCAGGCACTATGGCGCCTCTCTGGATTGGTTCATTCCCTGCAAATAGATAGGATATGTACTGTGAGGAACTAGAAACGACAGTAGTCTCCGTGCTGTGATCTGCTTTCCTAGGGAATTTTTTCTGGAATTCAAGCAGCAGCAAGTAACCCATCTCGCCCTCCGTCTCTGCTCCGGGGTAAGCCCTGGCAGCGCTCCTACCTGGGAACTGCATTGGCGTAGCAAGCTGGACCCGCGCTCGGTCCAGCCCTCGCGCACGCGTACAGAAGCTCGCTCCCGGGGGCGGGGCCTGAGCGAGATGGGCGGGGCCTGAAGCCGCCGGGAGCTCCTGCAGCTTCACCCCGTTGCTAAGAGACGCGAGGATCGCAGAGGCCACAGCAGTTGGCCTCTCGCTGGCCCTGCCCGCAGATCCCGAGTAGAGAACGCGAGCACCGCCACGCCCGCCTGCGAGCTCCCAAGCGCACCCGGCCTCTCCTGCTCGGCGGAGCGAGGATAACCCCGGAGAGCCGGCCCCAGGGGTGGGTGGATGCGTCGCCGGGCCCTCCCCGCCAACCCCTGCGCCCCTGCCGTAGCCCCGCCTCAGCCGTAGCCCCGCCCCAGTCGTAGCCCCGCCCCGGAAGTCCTGGCCTCTCCTTCTCCGCTCTGTTGTTCTCTGTTGTCTCTCGAGGTTTGCCCAGGAGAACCCGTGGTTTTCATGTCTCCTCCGTGTTTTTCAGGGTGGAGGGCCTTCCAGAGTCTCAGGGTTCGGTTCTCCCGGAAGTTTCCCGGCTGCCCCGCGATCCCTTTGGCTTTAGGGGCCGCGACTCCGAGGGCTTTCTGATGCGGGCCCTTGATTTTGGAATACTGTGCTTTGTCCATGCCAGCTTTCTCCAGGCAGATTTCACCTCCCACGCAGTTGGTGGTTTGTGGCAGAAAGGAAGTTGGAGGGATGGGGACTGCTGGTTAGCTGTGGGGGTCTGAAGGGAGCGGCTCTGTGCTGCACAGCTGCAGGTTAGCACGCCCAGAGCAGGGACCGCCAGGCTTGCTTTTGGAAACCACTTTTGTCTTTCAAATGAACGCCCAGCGACAGCGGACGGGACTTTAAGACGTTAGAGACCATCTAATGCTTCTCTTTCCGTTCAGGAAACAGGCACGGGCGTGTTCATGGCCTTGTCTAAGGTTACCTGCTGGTTACAGGGCTCCTGCTGTCTCTTAAGAACAGAGATAATCTAATAGGAGAAAAAAATGGACTATTAGGGAGGCTAATGTTCTTGAGGTTTTAATACCACTAAAAGTAAAAGCACTTTTCAGAGTGAAAGGGAAGTACAGAGGGAATTTGGGATGGCTGACTACATCAGAAGCCTGTGATAATTTAGATTGTCAGGGATTTGAGATGGTGGGTTTTCGTGTCCTACACGAAAAACCTACAATAAATGCTTCTCGATTTAACCATGGGGTTATGTCCCAATAAAGCCATGGTAAGTCGAAAATGCATTTAATGCACCTAGGCAACCTTACACGTCTTCAGAACACCTTACCTAGCCTGCAGTTTGGCAATGTCATCTAACACAAAGCCTATTTTATAATAAAGTGTTGACTATGTCATGTAACTTATTGAATACTGTATTTAAAGCGGAAAACAGAACGGTTGTATGGGTACTCGAAATACAGTTTCTAGTGAATGCGTATTGCCTTTGCACCATAGCGAAGTGGAGGTACGAGCTGAATCATTATCTGTATGCATACAAACCCTAAGTGTTTAATACAATTCAGTTTCACAAACCAGAAACTCAGGCAATGTCGTTAACTGTTTGTGGAGATACACCTTGGCATCTCATACATAACACATATGTATGTGCATGTATGTATGTATGTATGTATTTTTCTCGAGGCAGGCTCTCTTGTCTCCCTCTCCCAGGTTGGAGTGCAGTGACTCGATCGCAGCTCACCGTGACCTCAACCTTGGGGCCTCAAGCAGTCCTCCTACCTCAGCCTCCCCAGTGGCTGAGACTACAGGCATGGGCCACCATACCCAGCTAATTTTATTTTTTGTAGAGACAGGGTCTCACTCTGTTGCCCAGGGTGGTTTTGAACCCTTGGACTCAAGTGATCCTCCCCGCTCCCTCCCTCTTTCCCCCTCTTGTCGCCGGGCTTCCCAACCGCCCCCTGACTCCTCTCTCCCGCTTTTTCAGCCCGCGACCTCGCGGTAGCGGTCCGCCGAGGCAACACCGCAGGCTATTGGGGCCGTCAGGCGCCCCCTGCCGGCGTCTGAGGCCATATCACCCTGATCTCGGAAACTAAGCAGGGTCGGGCCTGGCCAGTACTTGGATGGGAGACCGCGTGGGAAAACGGGGTGCTGTAGGCTCCCCGCTCCCTCCCACTTTCCCTCTAGTGTCTCCGGGCTTCCCAGCCGCTCCCTGTCTCTTCTTTGCCCCTTTTCCGCCCGGTCTCAGAAAGAGCTGGGATTACAGGCATAAGCCACTGCATCCAGCCATGAAACGTATTTTCTAATCAATTACTTTTTTTGGCACAATTACCAGTAAAGAAGCCACTCAGTCTGCAAGTGCTGAATATTACTACCAGCAGAATTAGTACTGCCACTGAATTCCTAGAATCATTAAAAAATTTAATCAGGGAATTATAAGTTGAGCTTTCCTAATTTTAGTTTCACTTTGTTTTTTTAATAAACTGAAAGGCCAAAAAAAAAAAAAAAAAAAAAAAAAAAAAGAATTTGCACCACCACTTATATAGCATAGTTATAGTAGTCACCAGAGTTCCTATTATGGTGAAATTCACATTCATATTCTCTTTAGGTATTCTGGGAAAATAAAATTTTGAAATGCTTAACAGTAACTGGAAAATGTCTATTTCTGCTGAGAAAAGTGGTGATTTCCCCCAAAGTCCAATTGAGTACAGCATATTTTCTGCTTTTCTATTAAATGTAGCATTTTTATGTATAGTTGACATAATTTTTTGAGCTGACAGTGACAAAAGGTTATATAGATGACATTCAAGAAAATACGTTTTGAATGAATATGAGCAAAAAACCAAGCCTAAAGTTAGAGCTTGGATAAGACAAAAATTAAGATTGTATTACTACTTTTCGGAAACGTGCTTCATCTGTAAAAGTCCTGTAAGTAAGGCCGGGTGCCGTGGCTCACGCCTGTAATCCAAACACTTTGGAGGCCAAGGTGGGCGGATCACCTGAGGTTGGGAGTTCAAGACCAGCCCAAACAACATGGTGAAACACTGTCTTTAAAAAAAAAAAGGCCGGGCGCGGTGGCTCAAGCCTGTAATCCCAGCACTTTGGGAGGCCGAGGCGGGTGGATCACGAGGTCAAGAGATCGAGACCATCCTGGTCAACTTGGTGAAACCCCGTCTCTACTAAAAATACAAAAAATTAGCTGGGCATGGTGGTGCATGCCTGTAATCCCAGCTACTCAGGAGGCTGAGGCAGGAGAATTGCCTGAACCCAGGAGGCAGAGGTTGCGGTGAGCCGAGATCGCGCCATTGCACTCCAGCCTGGGTAACAAGAGCGAAACTCCGTCTCAAAAAAAAGAAAAGAAAAAAAAAAAAGTCCTATAAGTAATGGTCACTAAACTCATATACAAATATGACTAATTTTGAAAGTATTTTAATACAATGAGTTCACTTTTTTCTTTAATGTTTCTTGGAACCTATTTCCTGTGTGATATTATTATTTTTTAAGCCAAAGTTTCACTCTTGTTGCCCAGGCTGGAGTGCAATGGCACTATCTCATCTTACTGCAACCTCCGCCTCCAGGGTTCAAGTGAATCTCCTGCCTCACCCTCCCAAGTCGCTGGGATTACAGGCATGCACCACTACACCCGGCTAATTTTGTATTTTTAGTAGAGACGGACTTTCACCATGTTGTCCAGGCTGGTCTCAAACTCTTGACCTCAGGTCTCCTGACCTCAGTCTCCCAAAGTTCTGGGATTACAGGCCTGAACCACCATGTCCAGCCTTTCCTTTTTATACTTTAATGTATTTCTTGAATTTCTTGACCTTTTAACAGAATAAGCATTTGTCATTGTGATTGAAAAAAATTCAAAAAATATTATTTACAGGATCTGACTTTAATGTGTTTCAGCCAATAGAAATATTTTATTTATTTATTTATTTAGAGACAGAGTCTTGCTCTTTAGCCTTGGCTGGAGCGAAGTGGCACAGTCTTGGTTCACTGCAACCTCCATCCCTCGGGTTCAAGCAATTGACCTGCCTCAGCCTCCCAAGTAGCTAGGATTACAGGTCCCTGCCACCATGCCCAACTAATTTTTTGTATTTTCAGTAGAGACAGGGTTTTGCTACGTTGGCCAGACTGGTCTCGAATGCCTGACCTCAGGTGATACACCAGTGTTGGCCTCCCAAAGTGCTAGGATTACAGGTGTGGGCCACCTCACCCCGCCAGAAATATAATAGAAGAATAGATTCAAGGAATCATGATGAAAATTTTGGACACTTTATTTCAGTTAAATGACTAATACATTTTGATAATAAAAGGAATAGCTGAGAAAACAAGTGCAAAATTATGCCTTTGAAAATCTTGAAGTTTGGTGAATAGACAATGATATGAACTAAAGTCGTATATTTGACTTTCTAAGACTCTTAGTGACCTCTTACACTGTTTTTAAATTCATGATCTCAGTACCACGACAGCCATGCAGTGTGCATGGATGTGTGTTAAGTCTGTCTTCTCACATTCGTTCATCAAAGGATCAGGCACTACAGTGACCTCAGTACATTAATTGCAGCAATTGAGATGTCTCCACGTAATTAAGAAGTGAAAATGAATAAACCCTTCCTTCCCAGAAACAGGGAAGAGAGTGAGAAGACAGATCTTACATTCCCTTTTTAAGACAGAGAGAGAGATATACAGCTTGGAACATAACTAAATGGAATGGTGGTGGATATTTTGACAATCTACTAAACATATTACTGGAACTCTTAGTATTTGTATACAAATATACAGCTTTTAGAACATCACTCCGTTAACTACAACTCTGACTGCAATTTTATTGATAAAGAAATAAACAGTTTTGTATGTATCTTTCAGGGACTTGGGGTTTTTGTTTGTTCGTTTGTTAGATTTTTATCTCCACAAAATACAGCATGAATCCTTCTTAATCTTGGAACTGTATGTCTAAAAAGCTAATATATTTAATGGGATTCTCAACTCTGTATATAATTTTAAGTGTTAGTTTTGTTTATTCTTAAAGGGAATTTCAAAATTGGCATTATTACATTATCTGTTAATGTTGTTTTAACATCTTTCAGAAATTATCGGTAATAAGGCCCTTGTAACCATGGCTAGTTCCGACGTGAAACCAAAATCAATAAGTCGCGCCAAAAAATGGTCAGAAGAGATAGAAAATCTTTACAGATTTCAACAAGCGGGATATCGGGATGAAATTGAATATAAACAAGTGAAACAAGTTTCTATGGTAAGAACAAACCTGAACTCAAAATGAGTTTCTCAGATGCTGAAAAGTATTTTATAAACAACCAGAGAATAACTGGAGAGAATTCTACTCTAACTCTCTCATTTTATTTATTTATATTTATTTATATTTATTTTATTTTATTTTATTTTATTTTATTTTATTTTATTTTATTTTATTTTATTTTTTGAGACAGCATCTCATTCTGTCACCCAGACTGGAATGCAGTGACACAATCTTGACTCGCTGCAACCTCCACCTCCTGGATTTAAGGGATTATTCTGCCTCAACCTCACAAGTGGCTGGGATTACAGGCATGCGCCACCACGCCTGGCTAATTTTTGTATTTTTGTAGAGACGGGATTTTGTATATTGGGCAGGCTGGTCTTGATCACCTGACCTCAAGTGATCCACCCGCCTCGGCCTCCAAGAGTGCTGGGATTACAGGCAATAGCCACAGCGCCCGGCCAGACTCTCTCATCTTATTAAGTGGGAGAGGCCCAGAAGGTTGATTTGCAGGTAGAGTCGGGGAAGAGGTGGTTATTCAGCTGGGCACATTCAGAATTTTCTATGTTTTATTGAGCAACTATGCTCTGCTAAATGAATCTTTTATGGTAGATCACAAAAGCAGAATCTTTTTCCCTCACTTGGGTAATTTTATTATCAGATAATCAGTTTGTCGTATAACTATTATTTCCCTCCTGTTACTTTTTATTTTAACCATGAATTAGAAAGAGGTTAAAATTCTGGGGTTTTTTTTCTAGACAGTCTCACTTTGTCACCAGGCGCCAGGCTGGAGTGCAGTGGCGCGACCTCGGCTCACTGCAGCCTCCACCTCCCAGTTTCAAGCAAGTCTCCTGCCTCAGCCTCCTGAGTAGCTGGGACTACAGGCGCGTGCCACCACGCCCAGCTAATTTCTTTGTATTTTTTAGTAGAGATGGGGTTTCACCATGTTGGCCAGGATGGTCTTGATCTCCTGACCTCATGATCCACCCACCTTGGCCTCCCAGAGTGCTGGGATTACAGGCGTGAGCCACTGCGCCCGGCCAAAATTCTGTTTTTGTTTTTGTTTTTGTTGTTGTTGTTTTGTTTTGTTTTTATGGTGATTATACCTTATAAGCAAAAGTGTTAGAAAACAACTCCTGACTTCAGGAGTATATTCCAGGCTTCCCTCAGAGAGTGGAGACCTAGCTTTGCTTTACGAAGACTAGAGCAAAGTCTAGACGTGCCTCCCGTTTATACCGTGTGGTTCTTTTTAACTTATTTATTCTGTTGGCTACTAAGAGATGGATTTGTTACAAATTCAGTTGACTGCTTACCAATACGGGGAGTAGGAGCTTCAATGCTTCATGCAATCAAAAATTTGTATATAACTTTTGACTTCCCAAAATAACTACTGGAGATAACTCCCCAAAATAACTACTACTTCCTGTTAACAGGAAGACTTGCCCATAGGTAAACAATTGATCAGCCCAGAAATACACTAATATCTTTATATATTTTATGCATTCATGACAAATCTTTTTCTTAATTTTTTTTATATTTCTAGTCTATGTGGTTTGCGAGTTTTTTCAAATTGTTGCAAATCCAAAAAAAAGCCAACATATTTTTTGAAAAAAATCCATGTATGAATGGACTCCCCAAGTTCAAACTTATGTTGGTCAAGGGTCACCTGTATTGTAAAATATGACATAGTATTCATAAATATATTTTCATTTTTAGTTTGGGGTTATAACAGTGTTTATTAACTCCATTGTTTATTTTTCATTATTTTTTACTAACTCATTTTTCAGAGACTAATGTGTGGAGTTTGTAGTTTGCTATGAGCTCTTGTTTCTTTTTCTTTCTTTTATACTACTCTTTGACCTCTACTTAAAAATTCCTTTAAAAGTACATAGGAGGCTTGGAGCGCTGGCTCACACCTGGAATTTCAGCACTTTGAGAGGCTAAGGTAGGTGGATCACTTGAGGTCAGGAGTTTGAGATCAGCCTGGCCAACATGGCGAAAGCCTGTCTCTACTAAAACTACAAAAATTGACCAGGCATGGTGGTGCGCACCTGTAGTCCCACCTACTCAGGAGGCTGAGGCAGGAGAATCACTTGAGCCCAGCAGGGGAAGGTTGCAGTGAGCCGAGATCACACCATTGCACTCTAGCCTGGGCGACAGGACAAGACTCCATTTCAAATAAATAAACAAATAAATAATAAAATGGAACAGAAGTACAGAGGAAAAAGGATGGAGGCAATACAGAACTAAAATGGAATTGCCTTTTTAATAGACATTAATTTAACAGACATTGTTGAGGTTGTATAACAATAAAATTTAAAATACTGATCAAATGAAGATTGATTACTATGATTTTCATATATCTGTCTTCTCAACCATTTTACTCTATCCCCATTGTCAAGGATAATTTTCATTACTGTATCATCTATGGCTTTTAAATAGATAAAGCACAAGCATTATCATTTTTATGCTTTTTAAAATAAGTCTGCATACCTCGCCTTAAGATTGGGAAGCCCGTAAAGATATACAAGCCTCAGTCATAGGTGGCCAGGTGTGGTGGCTTACACCTCTAAGCCCAGTGCTTCAGGAGGCTGAGGCTGAAGGGTTGCTTGAGGCCAGGAGTTCAAGACCAGCCTGAGCAACATAGTGGGACCCCAATCTCTACAAAAAAATTTTTTTAATTAGCCATGTATGGTGGAGTGTCTCTGCAGTCCCAGCTACTGGGAGGCTCATGTGGGAAGATTGCTTGAGTGCAGGAGATCAAGGCTGCAGTGAGCTGTGAACACATCACTGTACTCCAGCTGGGGTGACAGAGCAAGATCCTGTCAGAAAGAAAGAAAGAGAGAGAGAGAGAGAGAGAGAGAGAGAGAGAGAGAGAGAAAGGGAAAGGAAAGGAAAGGAAAGGAAGAGAAATGAAGGGAAGGGAAGAGAGGGGAGAGGAGGGGAGGGGAGGAAGGGGGAGGAAGGGGAAGGGGAGGGAAGGGGAATGAAGGGAAGGGAAAAAGGAAACAAGTCACAAGAATTTAATGTAATCTCGTTTGATGTGCCTGACATTATAGTGCTCATAATTTGTTGGGCTGGGTGTGGTGGCTCATGCCTGTAATCCCAGTACTTTGGGAAGCCAAGGCAGGTGGATCACCTGCAGTCAGGAGTTCGAGACCCGCCTGGCCAACATGGTGAAACCCCTGTCTCTACTAAAAAATACAAAAAATTAGCCAGGCATGGTGGCAGGTGCCTGTGATTCCAGTTACTCAGGAGGCTGAGGCAGGAGAATTGTTCGAACCCGGGGGACAGAGGTTGCGGTGAGCTGAGATCGCATCACTGCATCTAACCTAGGTGACAGACTGAGACTCCTTCTCAAAAAAAAAAAAAAAAAAAAAATGTCTAGAAATCAACAAGCATAGGACCAACCTAGCTGTCCTAAGGATTATCCCATAGAAAGTAACTTCAGATGATAGGAAGAGGCAGTGGTTGTACTGTTTCCTCACTGGATGAGATGGTTTCCAGGATCCTAGTAAAGAGAATCTGCTCCTGGCCCAGGAGGGGAAGAGGCTGTCATGGAGTCTTGAGAACACCTCCTTTCCCTGCCAAAGGTGTTGGAAGCCACACAGGCAGTGTGGCCTCAGTGATGGAAAGGACTGCTGGTTTTCTGTAACGTATGTCACAGGGCCTGCCAAGGCTTCTCAGAGATCCCGTGACCTATTCTTGCTAATTTATAACTAAATGAGATGACATAAAAAATGAAGATGTGTTATTAGAAAACAAAAGACATGGGGACACAGATGGTGTATTCCTCTCTACTTCCTACTGAAAGCTGAGATTTATTCGTGGGGAATAGAACAGGTGCAGGACTACCTGTATAGATCGTGTTGAAGAACAGGATTTGATTTTCTAAAGCCTGGATAATGAGTTTTTGATCATGATAAAGATTTCACAAAATCTGAAAGGAACGTATTTGACAGTAGCAAAATACATTAACCTGACTAGGAAGGCATAACTTTGAAGAGGAAGCCGGGAGACAAATCTCCAAATTAGATCAAACCAAATGATAAAGTAAACAAACCAATACGTTATACAAGACAGAGTGGTGGGAGACGGCCGGGCACAGTGGCTCACGCCTGTAATCCCAACACTTTGGGAGGCTGAGACAGGAGGATCACCTGAGCCCAGAAGTTTGAGACCAAACTGGGCAACATATACTAATAATGATAATAATAAAGAATGGTAGGAAAAGTAAAAAAAGATTTTTGACACTTTGGGAGGTCAAGGTGGGAGGGCTGCTTGAGACCAAGAGTTTGAGACCAGCCTGGGCAACATAGTGAGGCCCTGTCTCTCCAAAAACAAAAAGAAACCTTATCTGGGCATGGTGGTGCATACCTGTAGTTCCAGCTACTCAGGAGGCAGAGGCTGGAGGATCCCTTGAGCCCAGCGGGTTGAGGCTATAATGAGCTATTGATCACACCACTACACCCCAGCCTGGGAGACAGTGTGAGACCCTGTCTCAAAAAAAAAGAAAAAATTTCAACGTGAACTTGAAATTGGGGCAGAAGGAAATGTGTCTACAGCTTTGGATAGTTCCTGACTTGCTTGCTTTACTCACTGTGTAGTTATCAACAATCAGCAGGAAGTGCTTTCAAAATGGGGCCTGGGCTTAGACCTGATGTCCTCCTGGGGTATTAATGTTAGAAGTTACAGTGTTTGCAATATTTGGTAAACATAAGAAGAATGAAGTTTAGATTACTTTGAGTGTTTTCTCTTACCGTGGCCACAGTATTGAAATTTAAATCTAGAAACTGGAGCTGGGTACAGTGGCTCAGGCCTGTAATTCCAGCACTTTGGGAGGCCTACCTGGAAGGATCACTTGACCCTAGGAGTTTGAGGTCAGCCTGGGCAATGCAGCAAGACCCCATCTCTAAAATAAATAAAACAAACCTAGAAATCGGGCTATAGAGAAAAGCACTGAATTAGCTGTCTTCTTCTTCTTCTTCTTCTTCTTCTTATTATTATTATTATTTTGAGACAGGGTCATGCTCTGTCGCCCAGGCTGGAGTACAGTGGCACAATCTCAGCTCACTGCAACCTTTGCCTCCTGGCTTTAAGCAATTCTCCTGCCTCAGCCTCCCATGTAGCTGGGATTACAGGCACCTACCACCATGCCCAGCTAAATTTTGAATTTTTAGTAGAGACAGGGTTTTGCCATGTTGCCCAGGTTAATCTTGAACTCCTGACCTCAAGTGATCAGCCTGCCTCAGCCTCCAAGGTGCTGGGATTACAGGCATGAGCCACAGCACTCGGCCTGAATTAGTTGTCTTAACAGTATAAGGCTGCAATGTAAGATGTGTCTTGTGGGTGTAACACTTTAAAAGCTTAAGCATTTTAAAATCTAAACTTACACATTGTTGGTGTGAGTCATACTTTTAACTATTTGATAGGAAAATATGAGATAGAAATAAAGTCGGTGTTACAAAATTTGTATTCTGGTTCTTGATGTGCAGGTAGACCGCTGGCCAGAGACAGGATATGTGAAGAAACTTCAGAGAAGGGACAATACATTCTATTACTACAACAAACAGAGGGAATGTGACGACAAGGAGGTCCACAAAGTGAAAATTTATGCTTACTAGCCTGTCTTCTTTGTGTTGCTTGTCGATCATATTTTAAGAACTCATCATTTCCTTCTACATCGTGTAAATGTTTGTCATTTTAGGAAATAATGCAAAATGCAGTCTTCAGTTTAATGTTTGGTGAAACACAAAGCCATGAGAATTGGTATCTGTTCATCACCTTGTCCTGTTCTAGGAACCAGCTGCAGATGCATTAAAGTTGTGCCTTCTCAGTCCTGCTCTTTCTGTCCAGTTTATTTTATTTTGAGATGGAGTCTCACTCTGTCACCCAGGCTGGAGTGCAGTGGTGCGGTCTCAGCTCACTGCAACCTCTGCCTCCCGGGTTCAAGAGATTCTTGTGCTTCAGCCTCCCAAGTAGCTGGAATTACAGGTGTGCACCACCACACCCAGCTAACTGTTGTATTTTTAGTAGAGACAGGGTTTCATCACATTGGTAGGGTGGTCTCAAACTTCTGACCTCAAGTGATCCGCCCACCTCAGCCTCCCACAGTGCTGGCATTACAGACATGAGCCACCACGCCTGGCCTCTGTCCATTTTAACTGTGGTGTGATCACCATTATGTTTGAGAAAACAACCTTTGAAACCATCCAAATGGTTAGGCTAGCACTATGTTTTCTTATAGCAGATCATCTCAGCGCTCCACCGCTACCCGCTCCCAGCATTCACTTCTTCACTAGAACATCACTTTGAGATGCCAGATCTGGGTCTTGTGGCCCAAGGTCTTTTTCTTGCCCCTGGAGTCCTTTGCCTCTTGCTGGGCAAACTGGAAGTGCCAATGAATAATGCCCCCCCCGGGAGAAGTCCTCCACTAATGACTGATGGGAAGTAAAGATAGAAATCCCCCAGCAGGCCAGGCACAGTGGCTCACGCCTGTAATCCCAGCACTTTGGGAGGCTGATGTGGGTGGATCACCTGAGGTCAGAGGTTCAAGACCAGCCTGGCCAACGTGGAAAAACCCTGTCTCTACTAAAAATACAAAAATTAGCCCAGTGTGGTGGCATGCGTCCATAATCCCAGCTACTCAGGAGGCTGAGGCAGGAGAATCGCTTGAGCCTCGGAGGCAGAGCCTGCAGTGAGCGGAGATTGCAGTCTGGACGACAGAGTGAGACCCTGTCTCTCAATTGATCAATCAATCCATCAATCCCCCAGCAACCTCACAGCTCAGGAGGAATAAGTCTGAGGTGTATATTTGACACTGTCTCCAGGAGCTTCTCCAGGAGGAGTTAAGCTTTGATTACCTGTCATAGTATCCAACTGGATAACGTACTGCCTTGCCACTTCTTCCACCCTTTACCTACGGTTCTTTCCCTCTCGAATAACCTCCCTGTACTTGAAGCCTTATCCCAGGGTTGGCCTCTAGGTTCCCCCACCTAAGACAATGAAATCCCATTGCTTCCTGGAATCACTATAGAAACAGCCTGTGTGTTGATTCAGGAGGCTTTCTGAATCAAGGAAGGCAATATTAACCTTTAAGCCTTAAGAAGTCCTCTTCTCAAAAATCAGTGCGTCTCCAGCTAGATACAAGATCCTTTTTATTTGAACTACTTTTTCACTGCAAGTTCTGATCACTTGCAAGTTCTGATCTTTAAATAGATTTTTGTCTTTTGGGGTTATTTTGTTTGTTTGTTTGTTTGTTTTTGAGACAAGGTCTCCCTCTATCACCCAGGCTTGAGTGTAGTGGCACATTCATGGTTCACTGCAGCCTCAGCCTCCTGGGCTCAAGGGATCCTCCCGCTTCAGCCTCCCAAGGAGCTGGGACTACAGACACATGCCATTATGCCCAGCTAATTTTTTATTTTTGGTATATATGGGTTCTGCTATGAACTCGATCGATCCACTCACCCTGGCCTCCCAAAGTGCTGGGATTACGGCATGAGCCACCGCACCTGGCCTGAATAGATTTTTGGATAGGGACTCGTATCTGTCAATTCATTCAACTTTAGCTCCCATTTTCCAGAACCACTGTCTACCCTGAAACTCCATTAGTTTTCCCAAATCAAACTCCTGCCTCTTCAACTGCCTTTTCTTTTCTAACACACATCATGGTAAGGATAGATAGATTGGCTAGGTCCTTTCTCAATACAGTCTAGAATTATCTGACTTACCACTTCTCTCAGGCCTCTCTGGTCCTGATTTTTATCACCTTCTTCCTGATTTGGTAGATGCTAAGGTTTGAATGTGTCCCCCAAAGTTCATATATTGGAAACCTAACCCCTAACATACCAGCTTTGAGAGGAAGGGACTCATAGGAGGCGCTAATGTCATTATCGTGAGAGCAGGTTTCTTATCAGAGGAGTGGGCTTGTTATAAAAGTGAGTACAGGCTGGGCACAGTAGCTCACACCTGCAATTCCAGCACTTTGGGAGGCTGAGATGAAGAGGGAAATTAAATAATAACAATGGTAGTCTGTAATTGCTGCATAATAAAATAAAGTTTACTGTGCTGTGTTCGATATAAAAGCTAACTCTCATCTCTGGTTAAAATTAACTCCCGTAAAACCTGTCTTATCTATTCTCCCCACATTCTCAGCAAAGTTCCCAGGCATCTCAAGACTCCTGTTTTTCTTGCTGACCAGCTACAAGGTCACAGGGCAAGATAACACCCAAAGAATGTACAATGCGTTTCTCAAAATGCTATTTTTCAAATGTAACATACATCACAAGACATTAACTGTTCTTTGTTTTGGCTTCTGTAAACCTATTAGCTGCTAGGTCATCCTGAATATATAAAAAGTACCCCATTTTCTTGGTCCAGGGCTCAGCCTTGGGATACTAATCTGCTGAGCTGGTGGCCCCCTAATAAAATCCTCCAGTTTCACCTATTGGTCTCTACAGTCTCCTGAATATTCTGCAACAGAGGCAGGCAGATCACCTGAGGTCAGGAGTTTGAGACCAGCCTGGCCAACACGGTGAAACTCCATCTCTACTAAAAATACAAAAAGTAGCCAGGCATGGTGGTGTGCACCTATAATCCCAGCTACTCAGGAGACTGGGGCAGCAGAATTGCTTGAATCTGGGAGGCAGAGTTTGCAGTGAGCCGAGATTGTACCACTGCACTCCAGCCTGGGTGACAGAGCAAGGCTCCATCTCAAAAAATAAAAATTTAAAAAAGAGTTCAGCCCCTCTTGCTTATGCTATTGTGCTCTCTTGCCCCTCTGCCTTCTGTCATGGGATGAGATACAGCACAAAGGCCCTCACCAGATGCCAGTGCCATGCTCTTGGACTTCCCAGCCTCCAGAACCATCAGCCAAATAAACTTCTATTGTTTATGCATTATCCCATCTCAGGTATTCTGTTATAGTGACACGAAACAGACTAAGCAGCAGACTTGTAGGTGCTGATTATAAGAGGTCTTCTAAATCTGATAATACTTCATTTTTCTCTTGGTAAAACCCACTGTAGTAGGTGGAATAATCGCCCCCAAAGATGTCCAGATCCTCATCCCTGGAACCTGTGAATATGTTACCTTGTATGACAAAAGAAACCTTGCAGGTGTAATTAGGTTAAATATCTTGAGATGCAGAGATTATGCTGAATTTTCAGGGTGGGTCCAAGGTAATCATAAGGGTTCTCAAGAGGGCGTTGGCTGAGTTGGAGTTAGAGAAAGTGATGTGATCATGAAACCAGATGTCTGAGTGATGGGCGGAAGGAGCCATGCGGAAGAAAGCAGAAAGCCTCTTGAATCTGGAAAGGGCAAGAAAACAGATTCTCTGCCTAGAATCTCCAGAAGAAACCATACTTTGTTTTTACCAAATAAGACTCGTTTCAGACTTCTGGCCTTCAGAACTGTAAAAGAATCAACTAATGTCATTTTCCACTACTCGGTTTGTGCTCATTCATTAAAGCAGCAATCAAAGGATACCTACACAGATCAGATGGAGCAAATAACTATCCTTAGTCTTGAAATCAACATAACTTCAATCATGGGCTTCCATATTTTGGCCATGAACTAAATTTTGGTTACAGATAACATCCATTCCAAGGAAGTTGGTCAGGCAGTCTTTTTTCTTGTAACAGTCCCAGTAATTAGCCTCAAAGTTCTAAATGCCACATCATCTTTCTGCAGCAAGTCTAATCACCTACCATTTGGTGTCCTTGTGACCAGAGTTTTCCCAATGTGTAGTATGATGGGCATAGCCGGTATTTTCGCATCATGCCAATCTTTCTCAGAAGATAAACTTTCTTCTTGGCGCCTTTGTGGCCACCTTTTATAAAGTGCTTATCTCTACTAACTACAGTTCATGGTCCTACTGAGAGGGCCAGCCACGCCCACTGCCAGATGCTCTTAGTAGATGTGTTTGTGCTGTGGTGTGGGACTCTGCCCACAGGCTGTGGTCCATAATGGCAACAGCCTCCCTACCAAGAAAACAGCCCAGTCCTGCTGCATGCCAGATGCTGGCACTCAGCTTCAGTTATGGGTTTTCTTACTCCCAGTGGAGCACACTGCAGTTTCACACTGCAGATTGAAGCAGCAACAGTGCCAGAGTGTCAAGTTTTGGTCCCAAACCAGGAATGAATGAACATTCCTGAAGAACTTCTTTCGCTCAGGGGCCAGAAACCTTTGAGTTAGCTCCCCTTAAACTGCACATGGTGACACACATCAAACCAGCAATTGCTCTTTAACCATACATTCCCCAAAGATCAGTACTTCTCAAACCTGGTTGCACACTGGACTCTAACAAGGAGGTGTTTTTAAAAATTTATTTATTTTAGACAGAGTTTTGCTCTGTCACCCAGGATGGAGTGCAATGGCACAATCTCAGCTCACTGCAACCTCCACCTTTCAGGTTCAAACAATTCTCCTGCCTCAGCCTTCCAAGTAGCTGAGATTACAGGCACCCACCACGACGTCTGGCTAATTTTTTATATTTTTAGTAGAGATGGGGCTTCACCATATTGGCCAGGAACTCCTGACCCCGTGATCCACCCACCTTGGCCTCCCAAAGTGCTGAGATTACAGGAGTAAGCTACTGTGCCTGGCCACAAGGAGTTTTTTTTAAAAATACAAAGGTCTAGGCTCCATCCCCTTACAGTTAAACCATAGTATCTGGGGGTAGGACATTGGTTTTTATCTTTAAAAACCAAAGGCAAAATCTCCCCAGGTTATTTAAATGGTTAAAAGTAACAATTGAGATTGAAATCTATTGCCCTGGATTCCTGCTTTCTATAGAATAGTGAACCAAAATCCAACCATCTCCTGGCTGCCACCCATGGGCCTA